ATGTAGCTTCTTTGAGCAAAACTCTACCCTCTTTTCCAACAGGTTCACTGTTTTGATTCACTATTACGGCCATCCCATCCTTTCTTCTCCATGAGCAGGATTCAATGATAGAATGTATTTCACTTCCTTTAATGAAGAGAAGGACTAGGTGTGACATGNTCTCACCTACATCGTCCACAAGGGACGACTCGGGAACTCAACTCCTACCTCGGGCAGCTCACCTTTCCCCCTATGCCCAGGGGAAAGGTATCAAGCCGTTTGACAGCTGATGCAGGCTGTCAAAACGGCTTTTACGCAGAAACAGGCGGGAGCAGCAAACAGCTGCGTCCAGCGAAGGCGCCTGCCACCGGAAGTCAGCCCAAGAGAAATTTTTTTTGAAGTAACATGTCTTTTGTTGTACAACTGAGATATATGTGAATTGTTCCTTCTTCAAACATTTCTTGGTGGAAGAACATCTTCCACCCCAAAAGTCATGCGAAGAACACACTTCCCTCTATTCATTTGAAAGTGTATTTTTGTGTTAGTTTGAAGGGAGCGAAATCTTTACTTAGAGAAAAAATAATACATTTCCTTCCTTCCTCTCTCTCTTTTCCATTTCTCTTTGTAATTTAGTTCCTTGCCCCTGGCTCTGTTTGCTTAAAACAAAACCCAAAAAAGAATAGTAGATGCTGCCAATGTTTTATAACTTATCCCATTCCTCTAGCAGTCACTTTGTGTTACGCCCATACTGTTTCTGCATTTTTTTTTTAAAAAAATAAGATTTTTGAGCCATTAAGGTTAACCCTATAATAGATATAAATATCATAGTGGCACCTGATGAGTATGGTCTCAGTTATGTTATTGCTGTTTAGGGAAGTGGGGAGTGACTTTGATGAGAGGAGAAATGGCTGTAGTAAAAGCATAAAAAAGGGGATATGTTAGAGACTGCAACAATTTCACTTTTATACCAAAATAGGTAATTTTAAGGGTATATTTAAAGAGATCACTAATGCAGTATTAAGGTGATTAACAGGCATGCCATCATTTGTAATACTGCTCAGTTGTAACCATGTACTAATTACTTTAGCATAGATTTGTTTTTTGTTTTGTTTCTAGATTGTATGTGTAAATAGGGCTACCAATATGCATAATGGTACAGAAGCCCATTGGTACTTAATCTGGGGGAACACATTTTATATGAAATGTTTTGTATTAGTAGTTTACTGTGCTGTATTTTGGCATGCTTTTGCAACATTAGTTAAATGGGTTTCTCCAATTTGCTTTCTCTTGGGCTGCGTACCCAGGAGAATATTCTGGTTTGTATCCTTTTTATATATTTGAAAGTGATTGTTTTGAAGTTCAGCATTCTTGGCTGTTGCTTTCATAATGTCTGTTTTGCAGTTTGTTTTGTCTTTATCCTGCCTAACGCTTTTTAATTTATTTTGCCTGATAATTATTTTCTATTCAGAATACCAACAGTTAAAAGTGTTGTTCACATAACTGAAACAGTTCCTTCCTCCAAACTGAAGTATTCTAAAAACTCAAACTTTGACCATTCGTTACAAATAGTCTTCCTTTCTGTGGTACTGATCCAAATTCTGCCAATGCAAATGTCAACCTTGGAGAAATGATTGGGAATAAGCACATGGCAAGGAATAATCTTTCTGAAACAATTTTCATTATTTTTTGAGCTCTTCATGCAGGACAATAGGCTGTTTTCTAATCTGTGAAACCTATGCAAACAGGAAACATGTAGGATGCAAATTACATACTGGCTAGTTGGAGGACAAAAATAAAAATAAAAATAGAATGTGATTATGCTGCCCTGACAGAATGGACACAGAGTGTTTCTGCTTCCCACACAGAAAGCCCAGAATCTGGGTTGTTTTTTTTTTAATCTATGGATTTGAGCAGTACTTTGAGTGTGTCTTATCAAACAAGCAAACTTCTGTACTTTTGTTTATATTTTTCCATAGTGCAGTCAGCCTGTCAAGTGTTAGAAGATCCGATATTGAAATAAATTGTACTAAATGCATAAGAATTTCAAAAGCTTGTTTTTGCCTTGCTCAACTAACTTTCTGCACAATTGCAGTGTGCTCACAGAATACCCCTCCCTGCAAGAATTTCCCTGTTCCCAAGAGGGACATTTCTGGTGTACAAGCATAATAAATACCAGGCAGCCCATTTGCTCTAGAAGTCATTTAAAGTTTTGTACTTTGAAGTGTAGGCATGTTTTTTTTTGATGAGAATAGTAGCTTTATTTAAGCCTTAAATAAATGATGCACAGGTAGTCCCGTTACTTTGCATGTTGCGACAATCTGACAATCATTAAGTGAGTTCACCTAGCTTAATCACCCCTACCCTCCCTGATATAGACGTTAAGTGGAGCGTGGGGTATCTAAAACTGGGGAAAACTTTAGTAGGCCTAGCATAGGCCCAGGCCCACCTGATGCAGACTCCCCAAGGCTTTCCCCACTCCCTCAGACACTCTGTGCTCTACTTCCCAACATTTGGGGTCCCCACAGCCCTTGGACTTGCTCTCTCCCCGGATCCCTGCAGGCCTTTCCTCTCCACACTGGCTCCCAATAGACCTTTTGTCTGCTTCACATCCTGCCAGGCCCTACTTCTCCTCCCCACCCCCTGTCATCCATTGTGCATTTACCTTTCAAAGATATCCAGAGCTCCAGACCCGTAGAGTTGTAGCTGATCCAAAATGGCAGCTAATTTTGGAACATAGTCATCCGGCCCAGTTTTGAAGCAGTATTTTGTGCTTTCCTAACAGAACTTTCTGCAGCACTGTGCATTAGGGAAGCAGAGCAAACTGCTTCATCTCTGGACCACGTGGCTGTGTCCTGGAAGTGGCTGCTGCTTTAATGGGGCCATAAGCTTTCCACAGTGCTGCATAGAGCAGACCGTTTTGTCCCTAGGACATGTGGCTGCATGCTGGAAGTGTCTACCATTTGGATGTGGCCACAGTTCCTTGGCAGCTGCTCAGAAAATGGTGGTCCCTTCTGGGACCCAGGGACCCTGAGGGATGGAGTGGCTTGCCCCTCCTTCCCCAACTTGAGATTGGAGTCCCAGAGATCTTCCAGAGATAAGTGTGTAGTGGGTGATGGAATTGGAAAACAGGTCCAAGTCCTGTAGGGACCCAGTGGAGCAGGATGAGGGAAGATAGACAAAGGGGACGCCACTGCAGCATCTCTGAGGTGGATCATAAGAGTCATGAGAGTGAATAACTGTGGAGCTACTACAGCGGCCAAAACTTTGGAACAGGGTCATAAATAGTTTTTGAGGAGTGGGTCTGTCATTACTTCGAATGGTTGCTAAGAGACTGATTATCAAGCTAGGACTGTCTGCACTTATCAGTCTCATTTTCCATCATTTCATGTATATGCAGTAATACTATGCATTTTCCTACAGTTACCCACATTTTATGAAGTCGGTTTTTCAAAAGCTAGTACAAAATCAGTGATATTCCATTAGTCTTTTGCTGGATCTTGTAAGATATATTATTAATAGCTTATTTTATTTTACCTATATTAAATATGGATGGGAATACATGTGGATAACTGTCAATTAACAACCCAAAATGATTAACCTATTAGATTTGTGTAAAAAGGCCCCATTAAAACTCAAATATCAGACGTGTTCGTATTATACTGCACCCTTTCAAAAGATAATTCTTGTAATAATATATAGTCTTCTCTATCTTGCATTCCATTAAAATATATGCCATTTTGATACAACGGAGCAAAAAAAGTAAAAATGAATCTTTTATGGTTAAGAGCTTGTTCTACAAGAAAAAGGTTTAAGTATTTTTCACTTTTAGAAGAATTGGAATGCAATACAGCGTTTAAAAAATTAAGCATGGTTTAGGTGATGAGGTTTGTAATGACTTGATAAGGGCTGCTTTTTTGCAAGGAATTACTTGGAAACATCTCATTAAACTGAGTACCTCTTCAGTCATTTAAATGCCACATTTATTTAAAAAAACCCTAAAGGGAGGTTCTTGAGGGAAAAACAAAACAGGATAGGTAATCCATAATTCACTTCTAAATCCATTTGCATTAAAGGTAGCAATGACTGTTATTATCAGCTCTGATAGTGAAATGCGAGCTGATTTTAACAGTATTTCTGAATGCTACCTTACTGGGGGTGGGTCCTCCTCCCTTTCAGCCCTGTTGTGATCTTTGGAGAGATCTCTGGTAGCTGCTCTAAGAAGAGGGAGGTTGGATTGGATGGATCCTTGATCTAGACATGACTCCCTTTTAACTGTTTGTCTTGCTGTTCTACATATCTTGCTGCAGCCATTTAATGCTGGCTTTACCCTGAAATCACTCATATTTCAAATTCTCAGCTTTCTCTGTTCTGTACTTCATTTTTACTGTTCTCATTACATATTTCTTCTTCCTTTTGCTCTTCATGGGATGCATGGGCTTTAAAGACCATGATTTCTTTGGTAAGGCATCATCTCATTTGAGGAACATTTGCAAGGGCTTTGCATTATTTGAGTTTCTTAACATTCAACATTTCTCATGGTGTCACCTATTTGAGTACGAGATTACATGATATAAAGTGTTCTAAGTTTTTCCGTTGTTTTATACTGTCGTTACCAAATGAAATAGAATTTATTTTGTTTTGTCTGCTTGGACTGAAAGTATTTTGCCTGGCTCCTTTGGGTTTCAAAACTGAATTTCATACTGAGCTCATTTACAACCTAAGAGCAAAATACTTTATATCTGAAAACTCTTTTCTGATCAGTGGTTATGATCGTAGTGCTCTGATCACAGAATTCTGCTTGTGAAATTCTTTCATTTTAGTGAGGATACAAATCTGTACACATTTCTGTAAGATGGTAGGAAAATTCCACTGAAATTAATGAGATCTCTTACTTGTGCAGTAGAATTGTGAGGACCAGAGCACCTGCTGAATATGCTGATCAGTGCAGTTATTAAAATTTGTAGTTGTTAAAGCACATCTCTGTCTTTTAATATTTCTTTATTCTCTACGGTTTTTGAAAGGAATGGGACGTGAAGTTGAAAATCTTATTCTGGAAAATACACAACTACTCGAAACCAAGTGAGTAATCATTTCTCCGTTTTTAGATACACTTGCCTATTTCTTTAATTAAACATGATGTTGCATGCCCTCAAGTTGCTGTCTGATAAAGTATATAATCATTTCCCCTAAGTCATGCATGGAATTTTGTGAAAGATACATGGTAATTGATGTGGTATTCCTTTGTTGTTGAATGAATAAAATATCCTATAAATACAAGTACATGTATATAAATATAGAATAGATTTCCAAGTCTTTTATAATTCTACAGCTCTACAAATATTTTATTAATAGAACCATAGAATTATAAAAGACTTGGAAATATGAACACTGGAGGTGGTTTCATTCTGTTTACTGGCAGTTTCAGGACAGTCAAAAGGGATTTTCATTTATTGAAATTCATATCATATTTTAAGATAAGATAAGATAAGATAACATAAGATAACCTTTATTGTCATTTTTATACTGTGGGCACAATGGCACACATCAAAAATGAAATTTAGTTGCCCGCTCTCAAAGTGAAACACATACATGACACAACACCTAAACATACTATGAACAACATATGTACAGACTCACACCCCTACATATACATAGCAAATAAATATTAAATACTGACCATCTTGAATATATAATGGAAGGAGGAAGCTTGAGAGTTCGCAAGGTTAATGCTGTATGGAATGAAACTCTGGCTGAATCTGGAAGTTCTGCTTCAGATAGTGATATTTATTGCTGCTGGGTTACTGACTTAAAAATATAATTAGTTAGGCACTAAGAATTGAGCATCCAGTTTTAAGAGTACTCTGATTATCGTATGCTATATGCAAACAATAAGAGGTAACTTCCTATCACATCTGAAGTTTTTTCTTTTGCAAATATTCAATTTGTGCACGATATTCATGATTATAGTTGATGATAAAAAACTGGAAATGGAGGTTTTCACCTCAGAACATTAGATTGTACCAGATTTTTGTTAAAAAGACCTTTATGAAGTATATTGGCTTCACTTAGCAAAATAATGGATCATAAAAAAGTAAAATCTAATTTTTATTTTTGCTTATTGTATATTGTATTCATTGTATGTATTTTATGTATTTATTGTAAATGTTGCTGTGATGAAAATAGATCTGTGAGTGACATTATTTCTGTCACAGAATGTTGTTAGAAATGATTTAATTGCAAGCATCTGTATTCTAGAAATGCCTTGAATGTGGTGAAGAATGACTTAATAGCAAAAGTTGATGAACTGACATGTGAAAAGGATGTGCTGAAAGGAGAATTGGAAGCTGTAAAACTAGCCAAACAAAAGCTTGAAGAGAAGAATAAGGAGTTGGAGGAAGAGCTTAGAAAGTGAGCATAAAATTCTTGAAAGTGTTACAGTGAGTTTCCTAGAAAAACTCTTGGACTAATTTGATTAATTCCTCTTGTTTAGAGCCCGTGCAGAAGCTGAAGAAGCAAGGCAAAAGTCAAAGGAAGAGGATGATGTACGTATTCATACTAATAACATTGGATCTATGTTTTCTCTTATTCTTACAGTACTATAGTTGGATCGATCCTCCTAGTTTTCTGTGGCATTATTGTAGAGAAATGTGAGCTTACAGGTTCCTTGTTTATGCCAATCCTGTAACGTAGTCTGTTTGGGGGTGGGGGTAAGCAGAGATTCTGAAAGATATTCAGTTATCATATTTTTCCTTCATTTGGGCCAAAATTGGTCATGAGGCCTTTTCCCTTCATTGTTGTCAATATTCACAGTTACCTGTAAAGTAGTCCTTGATCTATAAATGGTTTAGTGACCATTTGAAGTTACATTTGAAGAGACTTATGACTGTTTTTCATACTTACAACACTTGGCATGCATTTATGATGGATACAGTGTACCAGGTCATATGATCACTTTTTGCGACCCTCTGACAAGCAATGGGGAAGTCAGATTCACTTAACAACTGTGGCAAGAAAGGTTGTAAAATGGGACAAAACTCACTTAACAACTGTCTTGCTTAGCAACAGAAATATGGGGCTCAATTGTGGTTGTAAGTCAAGAACTCTCTGTACTGTAAAAATTATATATGATTGGCGTTTGTGCTTCCCAGTCCACTTAATTAAGTGTGCTTGCTATCTTTTCAACTCTGCAGAGTGATATTCCTACTGCTCAGAGAAAGCGATTCACACGTGTGGAGATGGCCCGGGTTCTCATGGAACGAAATCAGTACAAAGAAAGGCTAATGGAGCTTCAGGAAGCGGTGCGATGGACTGAGATGATAAGGCAAGTGCAATTTATGGTAACCTGGTGGACAGATTAAATAAGTCATACACATTTTGTTTACTAGGCATGAGAAAGTGCTTCATTCTTTATCTTAAAAGCAATTGTTTATGTACTGTATTTGTTTTTTTTTTAAATAAACATTTCACAAAAGGAATCTATTAAAGAAACTTTAGCACTGTTAAAGGTTAACAGAATTATTACAACATATGTTTTTGTGTTGTTTTTATAGATACAAACTAGTTTAAGATTAATTTTTGTAGGCGGACAAGATTAATTTTTGTTAAAATGATCCAGGTTTTACAGGTATCGCTCAACATTTGCTTTTTCTAGATTTAAAGTCTGTTCCAAAGACCTTCAGAAATGTGTGTCTTTGTGTGTGCACATCAGTGTGCGCGCATACCCTTTAAGTCACTGTTGACTCCTGGCGACTGCCTGGACAGGTCCCTGCAGTTTTCTTCATAAGATTTCAGAAGTAGTTTGCCATGACTGCCTTCCTAGAGCTGAGAGACAGAGTGACTGACCCAACGTTACCTAGTTGGATAACCTTGCCTAAGAAGGTCTTCATGTATAGAACTCATGGACTCCAGGTTTTCAGCCTGGTGTCTTAAGCATTACACCACACTGGCTTTTGCTTCAGAAATGAGCTATGAAAAATAGCATAGGTTGTAGTGCATAGGGAAAGAAATGGGTTTTATTATTTTATGTATTCTGTTAAGATGGAAGAAGGAAAAAAGAAGAAGTAAGAAAGTTGTTGCAGAAGAGCAGAAAAAGTCAAAGCATGAAGAAGAAAAGCAGAGTGGAAAAATAAGGGAAAGAAAAAATGGAATTAAGTAACTGGAAAACTGAGGTGGATGTGGGACTTGATACTTAGAAGTTTGATTCAGTTTCTGCTGTGGGAGAGGGTTAGTTTCGAACCGGCTGTTACGGTTCTTGAGAGGGATCTCACTGGGAAGCAGCATGCCATTCACACAAAATTGGCCTAATGCCAGGTTGCTATTTCTGAATGAAATCTGTTTCAGATTTAAAACTGGCCAAGTTGCTATTCTAACTATAGTAAGACAGATGACATGATCACTCTAGTAATAGATTACTGATTACAGCTGTGCTTTTGGTATAAACTTAACTTGACACGGAGGCAGTTAAATAGTAGAATCTAAACCTCTCCAGGTCCTGTTGTACATTTGGCTGACTTTGGCCTTGTTACATAGTGCTGAATATGCATTATAATTTTCAGAGTATAGATCAGGGGTCTTCAAATTTGGCCCTTTTATGACTTGTGGACTTCAACTCCCAGAATTCCTCAGCCAGGCATGCTGGCTGAGGAATTCTGGGAGTTGAAGTCCACAAGTCATAAAAGGGCCAAGTTTGAAGACCCCTGGTATAGATCATTTACTGCTGGCAATGCGTGTGTATGCATATATGTAATTTATAGGCCTTCAGATTAATTTAGGAAAACACATGATAAACAACTCAGAGAGGTAGTGGTTCCTCTTCATTGAATGTGTTCGAGTGAAGGCTATGCAGATATCTGTCTATGTATGAGGCCTTAATTTAAACTCCTGCACTGAGCAAGGAATGGATTTGGTGACCTAAATGTCCTTCCATTTCCATGTTTCTATGATAAATATATGGGTTAAACATCTGTCCCACTTACTGAATATACAAGACCATCCACCATCTCTATTTGGCTTTTCTCAGCTCCTTTTTGAGCATGTATTTTTTTTTAAAAAGTGGCACCCAGTTTTGTGTATGTGTGCCTTCGAGTCAGTGTTGATTCTTGGTGACTGCCTGTATAAGTCCTTGCAGTTTTTTGATAAGATTTTCGAAGTGGTTTGCCCTTGCCTGCTTCTTAGGTTTGAGAGGGAGTGACGGGCCCAAGATCACTGAGCCAACTTTGTGCCTAAGGCAGGACTAGAACTCATGATCTCCAAGTTTGTAGCCTGATGCCTTAACCCCTACACCAAATTGGCTTTCTTCAATTAGTTTGAGCTAATTTTTTAAAAACTTCTATTTAAGATAAACTACATTCACCATCCCTATTTTGTTACCATCTAGTTGCCTGATAGTTTACTGGTTGTTTTACACTTAGTTTTTACAGAAAACAAAACAATTCATTTTTAGGATTAGATTGAATTACTTTGCATGAGAAAAATCTTCAGTTACATACTGGAGCAACACAAATTCATTTTGCTCTCATGTAGTAAGTATACTTTCAACCTGTACAGGTGATTGCTTGTTGTTATTGTGAATTAGTTATTGTATTGGATGGTTGCAATTATTTTTATTTTCATAGGAGATACAATTGAATTTAAGAAGGGATACAACAGTGCACAAAAGCTGATTTCTTAAATAATGCCATATCCTCATTTATAGCTGTGGTGGGTTTTTTTTAGGGTAATTCTCAAATTCTGTTTCAGAATTTGGAAAATTGTTAATGTGGATTTACTTATAAAATGCCAACATGTCTCCAACTGTATGAAATCCTCAGACGTTAGAGATGTTATAATCTGGGCTTTTAATTTTTTCTTTAGGGCATCAAGAGAAAATCCAGCTATGCAAGAGAAGAAGAGATCGAGTCTTTGGCAGTTGTAAGTATTGAGATACAAATACTTGTATTTATGAAAAATAATATTATTACTCTTTTAGGGACTTTTAATTAGTAATGACTATCCATTATTTTCTTTTATTGTCTAGTATGCCAGACAGGTAAGACGTTAAAGCTGAATTATATTGTAAGATGCATCCTAAAAGATTTATTATGCACTTAGCAGAGAAATATAATTGTCTTTCTCTAATTGTGGCAGTTTAAAACCATATTGTTTGTATGCTTACTGATTTCAGTTCATCAAATCTGTTTGAGGGGAGTTCAAATTTTTTGCTTTTTGCTCTGTTTAATACTAAAGCTATAATTACTAAAATTGTACATGAGAGGTTGCATGACTGTCCTGTATCCTCAGAGTTTTTATTTTATTTTTGTGAGGAATCAGTTAGGATTATTTGGTTAATGAAAATGTTACGAGCTGGCAAAATTGCAGGGCTCAGCTGCTAAAGATTCAGAATCCTGCAGGTTTGTGTCTTCATAATACTGTTATTGCTGCTCACGTTGTCTGTTCTTACCTTCTGGTGTGGTATTGGACTGATATACAGAGATTGTAAATCCCTACGACCAAGACTAATTTATGAACATGATAATCCAGTATGTTTGGATATATACCCACAGATTTTAGTTTAATTGGACATATTTTGAGTAGTCTGGGTTATTAAAAAAAGAGATGAAAATAATATTTATTTAAAAAATAGGGGAAAGAAACAAGAGGAAATGGGCGAAGGGAGCAATATTCAATAGGAACCTAAAAGATGTAACAGTGGACAGGTCATGAATTTTATAGGTTGAGTGTATTCTGAAGTGCAATTGCCACCCAGAGGAAGCTCTTCTGTGAAGAACTGCAAGTCAACACTCTGCCACCCTTGGGATACAGAGCTAGCCTTCTCCCCTTGTTGTCTTAGTGATCAACCAGGACTATCATACTAGAAAGTGGTCTATGATATAGCTTGTATCTCCATTTTCTAAATCATATTCATGCTAATAGTTTAATTACTAGAAATGTGCTGTATACATATAAGGGAACTAAAAAAAACCCCTTTACAGTAGTCCTGGCTGAGACTGCTGAAGTTGGGCAAGCCCACTAGAAGCCTGGTGACTGGGAAGGCGTGCACAGCAGCCAAAGGGCAGAGATTCAAGGTAGGGGGAGATAGGTGGGAAGGGTTGAAGCTGAAGCAATCTGCTCGGGGCAGGAGAACATGACTACAGGACTGTGGCAACTATGATAAATGTGGGCCAGTTGCCAAGCAACCAAATTTTAATCACATGACTACAGGGGCCTTGCAATAATTATAAGTTCAAGGACCTGTTATAAGTCATTTTTTTCAGTGCTGTCAGATCTTCAAATGGTCACTGAACAAATGGTCATAATCTGAGTACTACCTTAATTATCAGGGACCAGAGTTTTGTAATATTTGACATGTGGCATCATCTTAGAGAGAACCATTCCTTCTCTTAGAACCACAGTTTTAGACATTTGGCTAGCCTTTAGCTACCCGTGAAACATTTTTGACTTGAAAGCATATGGGTTAATTCTGATGAGCTTTATAGCTATCTTCTAATGGTGTGGCTGTATTGAGCAGTGAATGGCTCTTCTTTTCTGCCCTGCTTTGTGTGAGGCACTGTGTTCAATGTGCATGTACTGTACATGTAAAACTCTGATGATCAAGGGGCTATATGTACTTACGTATTCAAGTGCTTTTGCTTTTTTCCCTTCCAGTTTTAGCAGATTATTCAGTTCATCGGGCAACACTACCAAGAAACCAGAACCACCAGTTAATGTTAAGTACAACGCACCAACCTCACACATTACTCCTTCAGTCAAGAAAAGAAGTAGCACCTTATCTCAGCTCCCAAGTGACAAATCAAAAGCTTTTGATTTCCTCAGTGAAGAGTAAGTTATGTTTTCTTTACAGAGTAAAAATATGCGTAGGCAGAACTTACCAACTATATAAATGACCATGGTCAATATATTTCTGAAGATTTGGCTTTGCATTCTGGGAATGCCTGGACTCATATCTGTACTGAATGCAGAAGTGGTATCAATGGTTCTGCCCAGCTTGATCTTGTTGCACTAGTTGTGTGTCTACCTGAGGTCAAACCTAGATGTGGTGATATATGTCTTATTACCTCTAGACTGGATTATTGCAATTCAAGCTACATCTTGAAACTGCACCTGGTCCAGAATATAACACTGAAAAGGCTGGTGGGTCTTCTCTTAAAGGACTACAGTCCTTTAACTCCCCCAAAGGCTATAATTCAAAACAGTGATGATGGTGGCTTTTCAAAACATGAAACATGAACTCAAGATGAGGTACCCTAAAGAACATTTTTTTCCAGACTAGTCTGCTTGTGCAATCTATTACCTGATGGAAAGAGACTTTTCTTTATGTTTCAGTTGACAGAAAGCATCTTCTTTGTAGTCATGTAAAACAATAGAATTGTTTATGATGGAAAAAACTAGTTAGATAATTTCTAGGAATTCTATTGTAAAGTCACATTTATATAAGGCCTTTTATTTGTTTTTTTAATTGTGTGTGATTATATATATGCTGCACTTGCCACCAATACTTCTATTGATAGAAAGAAGTATTTTGTACAGTAAATGGGAAAGTGCAATACGGGCATAAATAACTCAGCCTTTATAAGAACAATGTTATTTGTGTTTGCATGAATCTGGCAGATACTTGTAGGTGTAATTTATGGTGGAGAGGGACATGGCTCCTCCTCCTCCATCACATTCCTTTGTTGAAACATTTGTAGAAACAAGTTAAGCCTTTCTTTAATTTTCAAAAACTGCTCAGTAGTTCTCTGCAAATTTGAAATTTGTACTTGTTAAGTTGCTTTCTTCCTCCCAACTTTCTTACCTAATGGAATCTCAGTGATTCCATTGGCGCACACAGAAAGTTTTTAAGAGACCATCAACATATTCTGGGGGTAAGTCGGGCAGGGCAGATCATGCACATACCTTGAAAAAAGAGTAGGGAGCTCATGGACCTACAGAAGAATATTGGGAAAACATGTTTCTGGAAACCTGTCTGTGATTCTGTACTAATTAAAGCTTTTATATAGTGTTGAAATGTGGCTTCAATAATTTAAGCCTTAGGTCAGAGATAGATATTTTTTTCAGACCTGGTGTGCTACTCAAATGATGCGCTGCAAGCTGCTCTCAAAAATGTAGGCTAGGTGACATAGCAAAGAAACAAATGGCACCAAGACCAAATTTTAATCTGGGACTCAAATTAAATGTAATATGAGTTAAAATTAATTTAATGCAGTTAATACTATTTAAAGTTTTCCCTTTTTGTCATATAACATGTAACAGTTGATAGAAACTTTTGGAAATGTAATCTTGGGGACTAGGCATGGTACAACTCTTCTTTAAGGAACAGAAATCTAAATCGGTGTTGACAAGTTCTCATCAGCTCAAGTTTAAATTCTTAGAAGTTGCCAAGGGACATGCTGGCTATCGTCAGCTTCCAGTCATACTGTGGATGTCAAAACACTTTGAGGCCCATAAATATGAGACAAAACAGAAGAGAGGCAATCCTACTTAGGATGGGAATACTAGTCTTCCACGTTATAGCATTACCCATAATAGTTAACTTACCATGTGAGAAAAATCCTTTTTGCATGTATTTCACAGCAATTTAGGTATCTAGAAAGATCTTCATATTAAAATGCAACTCTATAAAATAAATTAGGAGCATGAAACTTTCTGTAAGTTTCATGCAGATCAGTTGAGGGTACTTTATTCACATAAAAAAATTCAGCCTGCAACCATGCAGATTAATTTTGTAGCTTTAAAAGCTTGGAAAAATGCTGTTCCTGCTTCAGAAATGAACTTTTACTGACAATGCAACAGTAATATGTTGTATAGATTAGCAAAAGTTGGTTTAATGTTCAGTGAAAGTAATTTTTACTAAAGCAACTTCTGCTACTCTGTGATTCTTCTATATAGTAAGAAAATACAATCTCTTTCTGTATTATTTAACTATTATTATACACTACTTACCCAAATAAAAGTCTTAATTTTTTCTCAAGCGATTTATTATAAAATGGGGATATTTTAGATTCATTGATAATACAATAATGGAGACAAATTATTATTATTATTTTCTTTTTTATAATCTGTTTTAGGGGAGGATCATCTTAAATTCAAGAGTACTTTTTTGGGTCAATATAGTAACTTTAAAGAACACCTGTTTTTGCATTCACTTAATCCGGATATCTGAAATATTTTTAACAATATGGAAGGAAATAGAATGATTTGTTTTTTTTAAAAAAAGTGTTTCCTGTGGTCTAGGTCTGAGGCCAGTATGGCCTCACGAAGAGAGCAAAAAAGAGAACAGTATCGCCAAGTGAAAGCCCACGTCCAGAAAGAAGATGGCCGAGTGCAAGCTTTTGGCTGGAGTCTTCCTCAGAAATATAAACAGGTATTGTGTAAGATATTAACCACCTGGCAAAGGAGAGGTAATACCCAACTTTGCGTATTACCTGTTCTTTATTGTTTAGGCATTATTGTTCCATGGGAATGTGATCACTGAAAGCATTTCTACTTACAAATCAAAGATGGGAAAATACAGTATTAGGGCCGCATGTTATGTCACGATGCAGCCACACCCATTAAGTGAAAATAAAGCTATGAATTGAAACACATGGTTATATAAAACTAATAGCCATGAAAAATTAACAGCCAGCTTGAAAGGGTGATGGTGATTTTTAAGTATGGGTGAAAATGAAGAAGAAAGTAAGTTGCAAGAGTCAGGTTTGGCTAGGAATATTTACCACTCTCCTCCTCCTTCTGGTACTGTACTAGGGCTGAAAGGGCCTTTTAAGCATCTTGCCTCCTGCAGCAAGGAAAGTCTTGGGAAGGCTTCTTTTGCAAGCTGCAGTGTACCACACGCAGGGCATAAATGGGAAAACAGTGCTACTCTACTGCTAAATGGTTAGCTAAGAACTAAAGATTTTTTTTTTTTACTAAAATGCATAACAGTGTATGATAGTGGTGTAATAATCTTGTGCATTTCTTACATTTTTATTATTGCCTGTTCACCGCCCTGAGTCCCGTAAGGGAGATAGGGCGGTATATAAATTTAAATAATAATAATAATAATAATAATAATAATAATAATAATAATAATAATAATAATAATAATAATAATAATAATAATAATAATGAAATCCCCAAATATTTTAATGAAGAGAGTTAGGCTTTTAGAGCCTTTGTATGAGAAGGCAACATATCTACTTAAGCATAATGCTGTTCAGAACAAAATCAATAAAAGGTTATTAAACTGTAAGAAGCGTATTTCATATATCTTGAGAACTGCAGATCTCTCTCTCATTCTCTCTGTCCGTTAGGCTATTCTTAGATAGGGATGTTAAAGACTTTTTTAAATAATAGAACTGTACCACTCTGGATAGAAACATATCTACCCCTCAGTCTTTTTATTTTAAAATAAAACTATTAGTTAACTTACATATGCCTAAGAGTTTAATATTTTTTGTGTGTGTCAAATCCATCAACAACTGCATTGAGTAATAGGACTTTAGTGCTGCCATGTGAAAGAATGCTAACTCTGTGATATTATAGAAATGTGAAAGAAGGTCAAAATAAATATCTCAGAGGTGAATGTGGGCATAGTGCGCTTAGTCTGATGTTTGCTCCCATGTTGATTATCATTTCTTTTGCCTTGTTTGGAATTCGTGTTGCTTCAGAGATGACGGGATTAGGATATTGATTCCTGTTACAATTATTGCCATTGTAATTTCAGCATCACCATTCCATACTTCCTCCACAAAGGGGAAAACTTGACAAGAGACCTTTGATCGCTGTTAAAAATCTAATTAGGGATGTTACTATAGGCTTGGGTGTAGTTTGGTGCTTTGGAAAATAACTTGATTTAACTTGGATGAAATCAAGGTCTATATGATTTAGCTTGGGTCCCATATCTGAAACAAAGTTTATCTTTCAAATTGAGTATAATGGAAAAAAAATGGTTGGGATGGATTATTTAGAACAGACATGTCAAACTTGCGTCATCACGTGACAGCGTGCAACGTTTCGGGACGGTTTTGTCGTTGCCGGCAGTGGGGGAAATAGATTCATGAATCATCTGGCACTTACGGTCTGCTGAGATTCAAAATACTTGTGCCTAGCTATTTGGCATTTGAAAGGCATATCCTCATAATATTAGAATATGCTAAATATGTTAAAGAAATTATTGAAAATGCTTCATTAGAATTCAGCAAGCACAGAGTAATTCCTAGATGGCCCTCAAAGATTTCCTTTAGCTTGAATATGCTGTCCTTAATCTAGGCTTGAAGCCCATGAGTATTATGTATATGGTTTCGCTATAATTCAGATTAAAAACCACAATTACCTATACCTGAAGACTTTTCTAAAACAAGTCACATATTAATCTACCCTATATTACATGCTGTCCTTTGGGGGTTTACAAATAGTCATCCCTTGTGGCCTTATCCAAGCCTCCATTTGCCCAACTAAGGACCAAGGATGATAAGGGCTTCTTCTGGAAGTTATATCGGGCAGAAAGATACTTAAAAGTATTAGAGTGGTAGAGTAGAATAGCTGTTTGTATCATCACTAAGGGATGATTCATGAAATATATTTGTGGATTATATATCAAGTATTTTCAATAAATGCTACAGCTTGGTCACCTTGCCTCAGTATGAAGGCCTTTGGAAAAAGAGTGTTGCAAGTTTTTTCCATTTACCAAGACCCATTTATGCATATCACTCTTCAGAATGCCTGTCCACACTGAACAAAGAGTGGGATTGGTCACTGAGTTGTTTCTGCTTTTGTGAGATGGAAGCTTCCAAACTTCAGCTAATTGGTCAGGAGCAGACTTTCATATTTGTAGCAGAATACTCTTCCTGTGTCGATCGCCTCTTCATTGTGTTTCAAGTGTCTGATAGGATGAAATGGAGTCACAGAATTCCTGTCTTCCTGGATGATAGAATTAACTCACTGTTGGCTTGCACCCTCATATCAAAATAAGCGTTACCTTTTCTTTCATTCTTTAGATTATAAATGGTGGTGCTCAGGGTGACAGCAGGATGAGGAATTTGCCTGTGCCTGTTTACCTGAGACCACTTGATGAAAAGGATACCTCCATGAAGGTAGATGAGTTTTTGTTTTCTTTGTCTCCTCTCATATATTACAAACAAATGCCAAAATGGCTGTTGGGTACCTTGTGAGGGGTGAGCTGATTTGTTATGTGTCAGGTGGGCATGGAAGCCCATTAAACGTGTGCATGATCTGAGTTGGGGGGATTGAGAGAGCAAACTGAAACATCATGACAGTAATGGACAGAAATAAGTACGGCAGGCAATCTCCTATCAAATCAGTGTTATATTTTCCTTTATTCCTTAGAGTATAAATGATGATGATGACGGGAGGATGTACTTAGGGATATTGGGTGTGCTATTTGAAAGTTGTCCCACTTGCCTGGCCCTTGTTTCTACCCTCAATGCCTGGTTATTGGATCCACGATGGCCCTGGATTCTAGTGATTGTTTCTAAATGCCAGGTTGGCTTGTAGTCAAAGTACATGATTCATGATCTTATGATGGATGAAGGTACCAACTTGTAGGAGTCTCTGATTATTAAATTCAGGTACAGGCTATACTTAAAGCATTGTTAGCATTTCATAAAGCTTAATTTGATAAAATGTTTTATCAAGCTCTCTTGTCATTAAAGCTATGGTGTGCTGTAGGAGCGAACCTATCTGGAGGGAAAACACGGGATGGTGGTTCAGTAGTTGGCGCCAGTGTCTTCTACAATGATATTGCAGCTACAGACATGGACAATGGCAAACCGAGAAGTGCATCTCAAAATAGCTTGGACAGATTGGATCAAGAACTCAAGGTAATGCTAGAAGTAGATTCAAAATGCAAATAGCTTCTGCTTTGTGTTTGTAGTTGAAAATACCTTTATTTCATAGTCCTGAATCTGAAGTGTGTGTGTGTCTGTGTGTAGGAGAAGAGCAGGCAGAGCTGGGGGGGCAGAGTTAAGTCCATCAGTTTGTGCATTCCCACAAGCACTCCCAAGTCCAACCCCTCCTGAATTCCATTGACCCTTATATGGCACTAATTTAATGTTGAACTTTAGTTGACCAGATTCTTTTTTTTTTCCATAAAATTTTTATTATTTTTAAATGAACAACAAATACAAATGATGCATCTACATACACTGACAAAAAATAACAATACTCAAAACATTTTCGGATACGCTCGGCAGTCCCCGCCCTGCCTCCATCCTCATCCACTTACCTCTCCTTCCTCTCCCTAAACCCACAACCTCTCCTCCTTCCTTCTTACCACCTCCTACATCCCCTCAGCCTTCTTGACCACCTCATCGAGTACAGATTGGGGTACTAGCCGAGCATATCCTCTTATTACAATTCCATTATAAACCTATAATAATTAAATACATCAATTTATAATTTCCCCTTAATCCCCTCCCCTCCCCGACTTCCCAGAACTAATTACAGGATTAAACACACCTCATAAAGCAATCAATTATAAAAAAAACTTTAACTCAAATAATAAAAAAACAAAAATTATACTCTATTTTAACACCAAAACTCAAAATATAATTATCCATCTTCCCCAAATCCAAATATCTAAAAATTAAACTTTACCATTTCTCTTATAATCATAATTCCATTAAATACAAAATTTAAATCCTTTAAAATAATATAATTATATATCATTAATCATCTAATGTCTTATAACAAATTCAAACCATAATATTAATCCAAAATTTTAAAGATATAAGCTTCAAAAACCTTCCTTATTAGTCTATCCCAGCTCTCCATTTTGCATCTCCCCCCAGTTTTTCATTCTTTTTCACATCACTAATACAAAATCAACCTTCAAGATCAATAAGTCTTCCTTTTACATTTTATAACGTGTCCGAAATTTTTGCAAGTAGTAAGCCTGTAAGCTTCTTCCAAAGGCACGAACAGCAACATCTTCAGCTGGTTTTCTCTGATGCACGACCCGTAAATTAATTCTATATAAACTTTTTTTTCTCAAAATTTCAACAGGGAGGTACACCAGAACCATAACCAAATCTGTTACAGCTTCCTTTCCCAGCTTTTCAAACTTATCATTTTCCAAATCTCTACCATATAGCATATCATTTTGGGGTATTTCCATAACAGATTCCACAGATTCCCTCCCACAGACCGGTACGCTCCCACAGAGCGGGCCTCCTCAGGGTGCCGTCGGCCAAGCAATGTCGGCTGGCGACCCCCAGGGGGAGGGCCTTCTCTGTGGGTGCCCCCACCCTCTGGAACGAGCTACCCCCCAAGATCCGGACAATCCCGGATCTCCTAACCTTCCGCCGCGCCCTCAAGACATGGCTTTTTCAGCAAGCGGGACTGACCTAGGGTGAATTTTAAATAGGGATAATTTTTAATGATTTTAATAATGTCACAGACTATAAATATTTGGTTTTAATTGGCTTTTATAGGGGAAATGTTGTGTTGTGTTGTTTATGTTGTGTTATTTTAATATGCTGTGAGCCGCCCTGAGTCCCGTGGGGAGAAGGGCGGCATATAAATTATGAAAAATAAAATAAACATCTTCTTCAACCTCTTCACATAATTTATCCGCCCGTTGCTCTGTGCAATCTGGAACTATAAACCTCTGGAGAGCAGATGCCACAGTTTCATACGATTCTTCCAATCTCTTAACCCAGAGATCTTTAACTTCCACTCCATGTTGCTTAACTGCTTGCATCAAAACATCCTGTAAGTCATTTATAATTAAAGATAAAGGCATTTTCAGTAGATTCCACTCAGCAACCCAAAAAAAATAAAAAGTTCTTTCTCACTTTTTTTCTCAGTTCCGCAGCCATTTTAAAACCATTCTCCAGACTTCTTTAAATATCACTTCAATAATCCAAAAGAGTAACAGTATTAATATCACCAACCAGTAGGCATCATAAATTCATTGCAGCTAAAACTTTCCAGAGCCGGAGAAGCAACAATGTATCTCTGTCCAGTTAGTAACCAAAAAAGAGTGAAAGTAAAAAATGAAAGTATTCCAGAGAAACGGCAATTCCGCAGCCATTTTCTCTCACTTTAAATCTCCACACAAAAAAAAGAAGATGCTAATATATTTTCAGAGTCAAAGTCACAAACAGTCCACTGTAACTCCAAGTCTCCTGTTTAGTTCCGTCTGCTTATAATTTAAGTCCAAATACCTTTCAGTAGCAGAGGTGGGAGCTGCATCTGGCTTCGCTCCAAATGAGTAGGAGCGAAGGCATCATGGGGCGCGGAGAACGTCCAGACTCCGGGCGAGCTAGCATCTCTTATCCCCGATTAAAGCAAAACCGGGGTGAGAGGAAGCTCTAGCCCTATCTGGACTTACCCCCCCCCTCTTCGCCCGAGGGACGAGGTTCCGAGCTGAGAGACAGCTGACGGACGCTGTCTCTTCAGGCTTTGACGCGCTCCCAGACGGGCGGCTAACAAAAGCCGCCATGCGGTGCAGCCTGTCACTACCGGAAGCCCCAGTTGACCAGATTCTTGATATAGGCTTGAAATCTTCTATGGTCCTTACTAATGGTCCTGATTCTTTGCACCTGGCAGTTTGCTTTACATAGCAGGAAAGTGAATTGTTATTTCAAAAAGGCCTGCCAGAACAGAAGTTAAAGAGTAGGTACATTTTTTTTCTCCCCCTATTTTTTGCCTTTAACGACAAACAAAAACATATTGCCTTCCGTTGGATTTATTGGGAGGGAAGTAATCAAAGTCATCACTTTGGTTAGTGTGAATTACAGTTGGAGGCATATTTGGGGATCAGTCTCTTTAAATCCCTCTCCTGTCATTGAAGTTCTTATATGGGGAGAACTGAATTTGGATCCTTCTGTTAACTAGGAAATTGCTCCCTGTCAAATCTTCCTCTTTGAAAATTGGTCAGGGACTGCAGAATCCATTCACGCTTCAAGGCTTTTGCTCATTCTGGGTAACTAAGGAGTACCCCACATTCTCTGTAACCAAACACATTCAGCAACCACTTGATAAATTTCAAAAGGGGACTAATAATCTACGGTGGCATTTGCATCTCTATTCCTTATTTGCAAGGTGCTGCATACTATTAGAAACACTTCCTGCTTTGTTTATATGCTAAGGAATTGTAGGTAGTCCTTGGCTTACAACCATTCATTTACCGATCATTCAAAATTACAACACACTGAGAAAAAAAAAATCGATCCTCTCTCTTATGCCTGTCACAGCATCCCCATGGACACGTGATCAAAATTTGGGCACTTGGTAACCGGCATGTATTTGATATGATTGCAGGGTCTCAGGGTCATTCTCTCATTAGGAATACGCAGCTACTCAAAATGAAAAGGAAAAAAGTGGCTCAGAGGAGAAGTAAGTGCACTCAGGCACTCAGTGTCACTGCCTTAAAGAAGTTGTACTTTTTCCTGGGCTCACAGAGCAGGGGTGTAATCCAGGGGTAGGCAACCTTGGCTCTTTTATGACTCGTGGACTTCAACTCCCAGAATTCCTGAGCCAGCATGGCTCAGCTTGGAAACCTCTCCCTTTCTCCTCGGCATGGCTGGCTCAGGAATTCTGGGAGTTGAAGTCCACGAGTCATAAAAGAGCCAAGGTTGCTTACCCCTGGTGTAGTCTCAGGAAGAATACATATGTGAGGCAAGGATTATGGAAGTAGCAACAGAATACAGTCATGTTATTATTTATGTAAATGTATTGAGTGTCCAACTCCAGTTATTGCATCTTATTAACTCCTCCTGAATTCAAATGCATATTTCAAATATGTATCTGGCAACTGGGTGTTACTGCCCTCTCGCCATAAAACAGAGGTTGTTATTGCACACTTTAAAACATAATTGTAGGTTTACATTGGTTGGTCTTGCTTTTTTTTTTTTCCTATATAGGACCAGCAAAAAGAGCTGAGAAACCAAGAAGAACTGTCAAGCCTTGTTTGGATCTGTACAAGTACCCATTCTGCTACAAAAGTTATCATTGTAGATGCTAACCAGCCAGGAAACATCCTAGACAGTTTCATTGTTTGTAATTCGCATGTACTATGTATAGCTAGCGTGCCAGGTAAGAGACACAGCATAACAACTGTTTTAAATTAATAGGGATTCTTTTCCCCTTGTTTTGACAAAACTGGATAAGCCTGGCTTTGGTCAAATTCAGCTAAAGAGTTGAGTCATTCTCAGACAACTTTTGCAAATTAGCTATTAATCTTTCTCTTGGATAGTTTTGACTGTTAGAAGTGCCTACCTAATATATAACCGACTTGGCAAATTGTAAAAATCTTAGGTGGCCAAATTCCGTTAAGGAAGCCAACCGTTTCTGTTGTGGCTCAGGAAAAATAAGTGAAATCTATTTTAAACACAAAATGTATTCCAAATACTTGAGACATGACTTCCGTAAAACCAGAAAGTTATTTCTAAGAACCAATAAATGTATTTTGGTACTTCATTTATTAATTATGCTATTTTATTATGTGCGTGGAGTTAAATGTTGAGATAGGAGCACATATACATAGTTGACTTTTGTGTTGGGAATAGGAGTAAAATTGTAAGCAGTCCATATGAATTGTGGAATTACAAGCAGTGGCCTTTTAAAATCTATTTATTTAAAATATTTCAATTTTCTAAAACTTAAAATGGCTGTTAACCAGATATTAAGACTGGATTTGGCATTTTGCCCATCTATTGAGTGTTTCTCAAGGATCCAGGATAGACAGAGGTGGATGTTTAATGGTGTTACAGATATCATTGTAAGACTAAGCTGCTCCAAGTAAAGCTGTCTCATCCTTACTGCTGGTTATATATTTATTGTTATTTGATTGTATTTTTTAAATTGTTATTAGCTGGCCAGAGTTCACAATGATGGGATGAGTGGGCATATAAAATTGAAATAAATAAACAAGTGTCACTGTAAAGCCAAGAATATATAGGATCTTGCGAATGTAAACTGTGTCAGACTCAGAACAGTTTCTGAATATGTAGGATTGTGGCTTTATTTAATTTATTATTATTAATATTATTTAAACAGCATCTGTCTTACAGAAAAGGCCTTGGGCATGGCTAGCCTATGAGGTTGTGCTCAGATTGAAGGATGAGCACAGGTAGATGAATCCCTAAAATTGTGGATGTTGTTATTAGATACTAGACTAGTTTTGGTCAAATAAATATGGGGGAATTGTTGGATTTACTCCAGGGGTTTATTTCTGTGTCTCATTGGTAGAATCTGTTCTTGTTAAGTAACTGTTTTAACCAAAGTTAGATTACAGACAACAATTTATCACTAAAATCCTGTTAGAAGAAAATGTCATTGCCCTAGTTGAGCAGTGAATAGATGTTTGATTGGTTTTAACTTGAGCTATAGGTGACAAGAATCAGTTTTTTTCTTTTCTTCTGGCCCCATAGTAGATTGTTCTTGGATCTCATTATCTTCCTATTCTGTTTTTCACAATTTTGTGAAATATCCAACGTAAACTTTTTTGTTTTTGAATCTGAAAGGGCTTATTGATTGGAGACTTGCAATTAAGATTTCATGTGCAGCAGACTATGAAAACTCATGCCATAATAAATGTGCTTTCTTTTTAATTTACCACAAAATACTTAGCTTTTATGGTTTATTCCTATGTGATCTTCCTATACAGAAGTGTAGTTTGAGTAAGCTTTATGTGAGATTGGAGAAGATACTTGTGTTTTCTCTTTTACTCTATTTTAAGGTGGATAGCAGTCTTGTATATTTTTACAGCTTAAATGAGATGCTTTGTACATTTTATATTAGAAAATTAAGTATTATTTTTTCTTAATGTCCAGGCCTCTTCTTGAGTATTTCTCTGATTCTGATAAATTTTGTTTAGTAGTTCACATAATAAAACTTGTAGAGATTTGCATAGAAAATTCTAGGTGAGGTGTCCTTTGTGCTCTCCAAGCTTGGTTGTTTTCTTGCAGATGTTTCAGTACCCAAACTAGGTAACGTCATCAGTGCTAGTCTGCAAGAAAACAACCAAGCTAAAGAGAGCACCGAGGACCTCTCATTTCTACCCTGAATTACAAATATTTTCCTTTATAGAATTCTAGGTGTTCTCTGAGCTTGTCTGCAATGTTTCATTACCTGAGTAGGTAGCCTAAACAGTGCTAATGAGTGTGGGGTTTGCTCCCTGTTTATATAGCTTACCAGTGTTGGTTGGGGTGTGGTTTTCTCTTTGGTAATTTTCTTGATTAGGGTATTGTTTTCTGTTTGATTCTTTGTCTGTTTATCTGGTGTTGGCTGCTAGATAGGATGTGTCACGGTCTTGTTTGTTTCTTAGCTTTGTTCTTTCTTTTGGATGGTATGTAAATATGCTTTATCTCTCAGCACCTAGGACTCCACACAATTCAACCCTGAGCTACATGTATTCCCTTCTGTTGGAAGATAACGATAATCAAACTGACAAATGTAACATTTTCTTTCAGGGGCTCGAGAGACTGACTACCCTACAGGAGAAGAAGGTTCACAGGAACCAGACTCTGGCGTAGTGGATAAGTCATCCTTGTGTGGCAGCATAAATAGCAATAGTTCAGCAGAAGCAGACTGTCTGTTAGGAGGAATCACAGTAGTTGGATGTACAGCTGAAGGCATTGCAAGTTCTGCTGCTATCCACAGTGCCAATACTGTTTCACCTGAGATAAACAAACCGCCAGGTATAAAAATCCTTGACATTCTGTGAAAAAGAAGCTAGCTCTCCTTTGTTGGGTTAAGCCCCTACCAACTTGTAGGTATATTGATGTAGGGTCTCAGCAACAATATGGAAGTGGTTGCCATCGTCCAGGATTTTAGTTTTGATTTTCCAATCAAACTGACAATGCTGCTAGTCAAGTAGGAGGTCTCTTCCTACTCAGCTTCTAAAATGTAGCTTAGTGCAACTAAGAAAATAAATACATTATTATTATTTAGCATTATATTCATTCCACAAGATAATTTTATTTCTAACTTTCCCTGGGATTTCTAGCTGAAGGGGGAAATCTCATTCTTTTAGAAAATGCAGAAAAGGGGTACTGTTTTATAATATACTAAGATGCATTTGTAATGTTGTAAATATTACAACACATTAATCATACAAGCCAGTTACATTTTAGTTAACAAGCAGAGATTGGGATGGAGAGGACAGTGTCACTTTCATATATTCTCTTTACTTACCATTATATTAAATATAAATTTGATATATAGTCTTCAACTTACGACCACAATTGAGCCCAAAGTTTCTATTGCTAAGTGAAACATTTGTTAAGTGAGTTTTGCCCCATTTTACAATCTTTTTTGCCACAATTGTTAAGTGAACCACTGCAGTTGTTAAGTTAGTAAAACGGTTGTTAAGTGAATCTGGCTTCCCAATTGACTTTGCTTGTCAGAAGGTCACAAAAAGGGATCACGTGACACTGGGACATAAATATGAGCCTGTTGTCAAGCGTCTGAATTTTGAACATGTGACTGTTAGGATGCTACAATGGTTATAAGTCTGAAAAACGATCATAAGTCACTTTTTTTGAGTGCTCCCTAACCTTAGCCTGGCTTTATATTGGAAGCTGTAGATAGGAAGTTCTGTATTTCAGAAATTATGCTAACTTCAGTGAATGTGGGAAAAGCAGTTCAACTTTTTGGGTGGGATAAAAACATTTCTCCAGGCGTCTTTTAATATTTCAAGAAGTGTGTGACTGAATAGGACTTGAGTTTTATTGCATAGCCCAAAGCTGCCATTAACTTAATAATTATTTTAAGAAAAAAGCCTGATTCCTAAATAATTAGAATTGTCTTATTTCCCAAAATAATTTTTTAAATTTAAAGACATCAAGAATCAATTGTTAGTTTTAACAATTTCTGGTTTTCTTGTGGTCGGGTGGAGAAAGGAAAGATGGAGATGACAGTGTGCATAAAATACTTTCACAAAATGCTAATCATATTAAGCATTGCCTTCCCAAAAGCCCTTTGTACTGAGGTAGTAGCTTGCCCATTGTTTCTGGCTGAATTATGTTAGGGCTAATTATCACTGTCTTTTGGTGTGGTTCAGCTTGGAAGGAAAAATAGATTCTATTAATAAATAGCTGACTTAAGTATTTGCTTGAATAGAATAGGGTGTATAAATCAAATTTTAAAAAATAAAGGCAGTGACCAGTGAACTGGAAAATTAAAATAGGTTGCATATATTAATGAAGTAATTCTATGTTCACTGCTTAGTTCATGAAGGAGGCTACTTTCAATTTGGAAGAGTCTAAATGTATAATAACCTCTTAAAGTAGATAGTGTCATGTTTTTAATCCATTTCAGTGTATGTGTGCAATATGGAAGAGGAATTACTAATTAATATACTTAAAGCCGTGCATGCTTCATAACAGGAGGGAGCTGTATGATCATTCAAGTTCACCTATAATTGAAAAATTTACTCAGATATTACAGCTGAAAATGATGCAGTAGATGAGCATATTCAGACAGCAGAGGAAGCAACTGAAGCGACAGAAGTCAGTGCTGGCTTGGGAGAAGAAGTAGCAGATATTGCACAAAGCGGCGTTTACACAGAACATGTCTTCACAGATCCTTTGGGAGTCCAAGATACTGTAGAAGGTTCTCCAGCTTTCCAGTCTAGGTATGCCTATTTTGTACTAGCAATGTGAAGCAATTGAGGGAAATACTTACTGGATGGTTTCTCCCCATCCAATAAAATCTGGAAGAATGGTCTGCCTTTGGATCTCTTCAAGAAAGTGTCATCTGCATGAATTGGTGGCGGGTCAAGTAGGACAAGCTTTCTCAATCTCAATTCTTTGGAACCGGATTCTTGCTCCATTCCTTGATTAGACTACATTCTTCTGTGTTAATTTTCAGAAAGTTATTAAACCCTGACTGTTCCAAAGAGTTTGGAGTGAAGCATTATTGGGAAAAAGGAAATTCCTTGCTTTAGTATGCATTGGTGTATGTGTATTCCTTGGCATAAAGTTCACTGCACTTGTAATTTGTTGCTTGGTCTTCTTATTTCTTTTGCCATTTTAATGTACTTTTCATGATTCTTTTCCTGGAGAGGGTTTTGTAAGCTTCTCCATGAATTACAGTGACATTTAAGCCCAAGGAAATAAGGAAATAAACATTATCTGTGATTCACGTAGTTGCAGCACTCAGATTTTAAATGGCACAGGTAAGCATTCCATTAGCATATAAATAACTTCCAATATTTATTTATTTAGAACACACACACACACACATCTTAACAAATAATATTGGGCTGCTGACAATGCAAAACAATAAAAATCAAATAAATACAAATAAAATAATATAAAAATACCAAACACTTATGAATTGGTTATTTGAATACTTCATGCTTAACACATCATTTTGCCAAAAAAGAATCTTTGGCAGTCTTCACATATTATTCAGAGTCAGAACAAAAGTAGCAAGTTGAAATACTTGCTTCATATGAATGATCAGGAATGCTGGTATGTAGTTGTTTAAATTCCTTCTTTTTACTTTCGTTAATGTTATTATTCATGTACCAGGATCCCAACAATTTCCCCCTCTAACAAATTGGAATCTGTAGTCATGATTTGTTCATGAGTTCTAATTCTTGTCTTATATTGGAATGGCAAGCAGAGATTTCAGTTAGCATGAGATAAGCCTTCCTAGTTCTACTGTTTCTTTGGATGGGAAGAACCAGTAGAACCAGTTGCATGGTGCATTTCAGCATGCTTGATTTATTCAGTGGAGGAAGATATATAGCTTGGGGTACTCTTCTCCCTAACGTTGATAGCCAGGACCATTTGTTTGTGTCCTTAAGAGCAGAGAAGACAGCAATCCCCCATTCTGGTACACAAGTTGTCACAGGACCCCCTTTTCTACTTTTATCTTAGTTCTATTCTTTCTGATCACTCCAGTGTCTCCAAAGAGCTCAACAACTTCCTTTTCCCCTTAGAGTTTTCTGATGACACTGAGGCTGTGTTCTTCAAGTACCAGTTTTCCAAGGTCTGGATGGCTGATCTTCTATTTACCCCATGATTTTTTGATAGTAGCAGGAGAGACTTGAAATACCATATAGTGTCCTTTGGAATAATCCTCAATTCCTACAGAAGATAAGCCATTGGAGGATTCTTCCTCTACCAGAAATTTATGGAGCCACGCTTCATCCAGAATTATGCCAGTGGATTACGCCAGTAGTCATCTTAGAGGCTATTGTTTGCTTCCTGGAACGTCTACAGTCTATATACATTAATTTGACAATTGTTCTTTTTGTTGGGAGCTGGACAAAGAGGATTCGGTCCCTCTGCTTCTTGGTTCTTCAGGTGCTTGTCTTTTTTCAGTCTGGACTAGATTAGTGCCTGCAACTGAGCACATTGAAATGGAAATTCTCAATATTGCCACCAGTTTTTGCAGAGGCTGAAAGATGGTCTATATCCACACATTTCCACATCAAGCTGTTCTTTCACATGCCTTTTTATTGAAGTCTTTATGTATGCACCAATTGCTCTTATGAGAGTTACACCTGTTCTTAAAATCCCTGATCTGTGACATATTCAGTGGCTCTGACTTGGAAAATGGCTTTTCTTAATATCTGTAAAATCTGCTGAGTATATCCTGTTGGCATACAAAGATAATTTATGCCCTAAAGTCTGTTAAACTTTCTGCTGATAACAGGTTCTTTGTTTACCATCTGTCCAGTTATCTGAAAAAACAGTGGCAGAAGCTGGACATCAGCAGTTACAACAACCTGGATGAAGAATCACTCTCTCTCTCAATTTTTTTTCTTCTGATTTCAGAAAGTTTCCTTAAATTGAAAGAGTTTATTGGCAGTGATTACCAGTTATATCTGCCCTTGCATATCCTTCTATGAAGTTTAGTTAGCTATTGTCCCAGCAGGAATAATGGTCTGTGTCACACAGAGCATAGCCATGTCAGCTACTCTAATAATCATCTTCTGAACAATATAAAATGATCATGTGGTTCTCCATATCTTCTTTGTAAGATGCCAGTAAGTTATTGTAGAGATGATCACTGATGCTTCCTTTAGCAAAAGGATCCTACTGCAGGTGGTGTTTTGGTTGAAAAAAGTTCCACAACTAATTCCTACTGAATTGGGAAGTTCCAACTATGGATTTTATCCTCTGCTATAGGAAAATGTAGTGCTACACTCTGAGTGCAGAGTATCTGATCCTCACTCAGTAAACTATTTCTTCTGACACACTCTGCTAGAGAGAAGTTCCCTGAGGACGGGCTCCAGCATGAGTCTGAAAGCTCGGAAGGCTAAATCTTTGGACCCAGTGAGTGACCCAGATTGGATCCTTCAACATTATCTTGGGACACACATATTCGCCTTCATTCACTATTTCTTCTATTGTATATGGTCTTTTTTCTGTACAAGTTTCTGTCTCTGCTAGCTGGTTCTATACATTTGCTGGGAAGTTGGTCTTTTGCCCTACCCAAGAACATAAGAGGAAATTGAATATCTGTTGGAGAGGGAGGGAATGAGCAATCCAATTACTGACCTTTCCATCCACTTTTTTTTTTTTTAAATCTTTTGTGGTATGTCCAGTTCAAGTATTTTAGGAACTCAGGCTCAGTGTTTCACGCTTAAAGAGTCTTAAAGTAATCAGTATCCAAAGAAAAGTTGGTCAGCCAAAATTTCCATTTCCATAATGATGCATTATGTAAAACGATATGCTGATCTTTGATGAAAATATTCCAATATTATCAAATGAATTATTAGCAGAAATCCTACAGTGAAAATATCTTCAAATGTAATATGGCATAACACTGAGACAAATTGGTATGTGGTTCTAATGTATGCATTAGAGTTAAAGAAAGTACAGATTGCATACTCAAGATGTAACCTGTAAATCAGTAACAGCTCCTTTCACGCTTGTTTCAAAATATTCTTTAAAACCGATGAAACAGAAAGAGGAAATTCCACAGGGCCAGGGCTACCACTGAGAATGCCCTGCTCCTAGTAGTTTTCAAGAAAGCTAGGCCTCCAGCTGGTGAGACATCATGTGCGGAAGAAGAATTCTGGTCAAGGATCATTGATTGATTATGTGTCATCCAGTTACTATCAGTTCTTAGTAACTTCATAGATAGATTTTCTCCATGATGATCTGACTCTAACCTGTTCTTCCAGGTCTTCAGGGTCTTCCAATGGTGCACTTATTGTCACTAATTGAATCTATCCACCATGCTGCTAGCTGTTGTCTTCTCTTTCCTTCCGTCTTTTCCAGCATTTAGCCTTCTTCACATCATGTGCCCAAACAAAGATCATAGCTTCCAGAAAACTGCATATGAGGAAAGCCATTTCAAATAAGCAGTGCCCAAACTTTTGATTTATTTATATGTAATAATAAGCACCGTGAATTTAACTCAGGAGCCTAATGGGGCTTAGAGTAGTTTGGCTAATATCGGTATGTTAAATTTTTGATAGAAGCCTGGCTGTTTTTTTCAGCTTATCCCACATTGCATATGCTACAACATGGGTGTCAAACTCGCCATGTCACATGACGTGTTACGATGTATTGTGACTTTTTTTGCATTGCCGGAGCTGGGGCGGGCGCGGCCTCTGTATGATGCAACTGGCCCATGGGCCAGTAGTTTGACACCCCTGTGCTACAATAATCTAAGTAGGAGGTAGTCAGTTCTAACTGTTTTTTGTCTCCCAAAAAAGACATAATTAATATATCACTTGCAGCTGGAAATACGCACTCATTATCATTGGCTGGCTTTTAATATATGTTTTAGTGACTTTATAAACCCAATAAATAAGGGTAAAAATAAAATGCAAAACTTGTGAGCAATTCAAACAAAACTAAAATGTTTAAATAAAAAAAGCTGATAAGCTGACATGGTTTTTAAAAAATTAAAAATAGCTATATAAAACATGCTTTTCTTTTTCTAATAGTACTAAAATACCAATTATATCTTTACATAAATTGCTGGAAACTTTTAAACAACAAATTGTTACAAATTTAACAACAAATCTTGATCCTGTAGAATATTTTCCAATCCTTCATTTATGTTAATACTGTACTGTAAAATACCAAGGAGATACATAGTTTAACAGTTTAACAGCACATTAATTCTTAATACCTTCAAAGTTACATTTCCTTTATGGGACAGGCAATAAGCATTCTGTTTTAAACATCTGTTGGGAAGTTTTAAATTCATATTTAATAGTTCTGAAAACCTGGAACCATTGATTTGTAGTGTGGAAAATTCAGTTCTGTATTCCAAATTGTGCTGACCAGAGTTATACACTGACAAAGAACACCCCAAGGTGTAGGGAAAAACAACTCCATGAAGAACAGGAAGAGTCCTTTCTTTCTGACTGAGAACTAACTCAGTCCCAGACCCTTGGACTTTCTGGATTCAGCTTTAGCTAGACTGCAGTTCAGTCCACGCAGAAATCAGTGCAAGAGATTCAGTAAACCTGCCTATTCTCCACATAAAGATGGCACCCAGTCACTCCCTTGGGGTGATTGTTCCCAGAAGTTCATAGAGATATAGAACACCATGGGGGAAAGAAGACTGTGTGGTGGAATAATATTTTCCCAGTACCATGACTGAAATCTGTTTTTGGAGTTGGGCTACTAATTTCCAACCCTCTAAAATACTACAATCAATGGTGTAAAAAAAAAAATAGACCAAGAAGTACATGTAAGAATGTATTTCTCTTGTTATGCTCCCTCAATAGATGGTTTGTCAATGTTATTCTTGCACTATGGCCCAGCTCAAAGATGTTAGGATAGTCAGAAAAACATACTTTTTTTCCGATTGTTCCTTGCCCCCTGCATAATGTGTATCCTTCATTGCAAAAACTTACTCGTTTGTAGGATGTTGAATAATTGCAAGTTTGGAAAAAGGGGCATTTGGGACTAGGAAAATAGGAAACTGGAGTTCACTTCCTAGCATCCTCATTCTACACTAAATTGCATTTACTCAGAAAGATGATGAAATAAATAGAAACTGTTGGTGACAGTTCTGTGATTTTAGGACTGAAAGCTATATTTGATTTGTTGTCAACTGCTAGCGTCTCTCTTAAACTTAGTCCCTTTATCAAATTTTGTTGATAGCTAATGTAGCTGTTTTGTGGTGATAGGAGAAAAAACTGTAAGACCTCGGTTTAAAAACATTCATGCTGCAAATTAAGTTTCTGAAATGAGAATTTTCAGAGAAACTATTAAAGAAAATAATACCTCAGATGGTAGTTATAAGAATTCTTATAAAACTCTCCACAGGGTTAATTACCTCAAAACATAAACACTTGACTTAATGTGTTGTAGAATTGTTTTAGATTCTAGGAGTCTTTTATATGTTTTTTATCTTTTTGACCTTTTCTCCCCTTTTCAGCAGTGAGTCTGAGTTGTTTAAAGATGTTGTTGAATTACCAAATGAGCAGGATCTTGTGAGGGAAGAAGCACAAAAAATGAGTAGTCTTTTACCTACTATGTGGCTGGGAGCACAGAACGGATGGTAAGCCTTTTTTTATACTTTTGTTAATAATGATATTTTTGCAGTAAGAATACTAAAGTTTGGTGTTGCGCAGAGTTGTTTGAGTTTGAAATTGGGGACTCTGGATAATTTGGGAAGCTCAAAACTTCAGACAAGGTTGAAATGGTATCAAACCGTATGTTTTGACCTTAGAAACATTTTGAATTTGAGGTTTATACTATTGCTAAATACCTATTTTAAACTATTTGTTACAAATTGCTAATTCCAGAGGAGATTTTCAATTAATGAATACTAATTGGAGCTTATCCCTAGTCATTCATTGGCCTGCTTATGATGTGAGACTCAGCTAATTAAAGCTGATGCTTGGAAAGTGTTACTATTTATGCTGTGGTTCTTATTGAGGGGAAAAAAGGGAAAACATAGAATAGCCTGATGTACTGATGCGAAGGCAGAAGAAGAAAGGCAGTCAGAGGAAAGCTCATTGCCTCCTGTCATCAATTAGGAAAGATAAAAATCATGGATATTTTATTTCAGTGACAGATTTGTTGTTCATTCCAAGTCCTTTCCTGTTTTTTTCCTCAGAACACAGTTAGCTTCATCAGGTCCTCTCCCTGAAACATTACCTTTAACAATTTTCCACTTCTGCAAAATATCTTTCTTTCTTTCTTTGCTTCTGAGTCATGGCTGGAAAAAATGTGTCTGAGGAAATATGAATTCCAGACCTAAAAAAGACCTAAAAGGAACCCTGCAACCTTTCCTGATTAGGGACTAAACTGTTTTGGGCAGAATAGGGACACACATACACAGTATACAATCTGGTTGAACTGTAGATTAGGTAGAGGGTGCTCTTATTATGTGCATCACTGCTTTGGTTGTATTAAACTGATATGCATCACCAGTAAAATGGGAGCTTTGGGTCCTGTAACCAGAGTTTTTAGAAAAACCTACCCCAGGTTCCATATTTGAGCCATGCTGGCTAGGGAATTCTGGGAATTGAGATCCACGTGTCTTAAAGTTGCCAAGATTAAGAAACATTTCTGTAGATAAATCATGTTTAAGTCAATTTACAGCCTGTCTTCTAGTATTGTAATTTTTAAAAATCTACCATCTCTAGGTGATACTGCTGTTCTTCAGTGTTAACATGGGTGCGGAGATATTGAATTTCTAACTTATTTTAATTTTATTGTTGCAGTTTATATGTTCACTCTTCAGTGGCTCAGTGGAGAAAATGTGTTCATGCAATTAAACTTAAAGATTCAATACTCAGTATAGTGTAAGTAATTACAAATTAATTTGCACTTCCCTAATTTAAAATTAATTCATGTGGAGTGAAACATTCATTTTTGTTTAAGTGCTTACATTTTATTTTTGAGAAAGAGAATATTGAGGTGGTAATAAGTGACAAAGAGGTGTGCTTTTGATCATGAATATATTAATAAGGATCAATCTTGGATATATTTAATTGTTGGAAGAAGATCCTATTAAAGAAAGGTAAAAAATACTAAACCATATTTTCTGATATGATGTTTGTGAGACATTAAATGCTCCCTCTATACTGAGTGATCCTACACTGCACATAAACATTTTTGGTTTATTTAAGTCTTCTTCCTAGTTGAGCAAATGTTCTATGTAAAAGCTTCATAATTTCAGGCTGCTCTCATATAAACATCTGTTTATGTGCACTTTTATATAGACAACATGCTTGCTTGTGTTTAATTCTTGTCCTTATCTTGTCCCTAAGTTTTCCCCTTCTATCAATATTAGTTTACTTCCATAGGTTGCCCATTATTTATTTATTAAATGTCTGTGCTGCTTATCTCACTAATACAGCAACTCTCGGTAGCTTATGATATAGTAAAAAGTTTAAAAGTCCTAAAAAGCAATTAAAATTAGAATAAAAAATTAGAAGTTAAGATCCAAGATGTTGGGCATCCTATGAATGAGAATCATCTCTATCTTGTCAGCCACTCCCAACATAACGGGCCTCTTGAGGTCTCAGACATAAGCACCAGAGCCATGTTTTTAGGTCCTTCTCAGAGGACCTAAAGAGTGTAAAATGTAGAACATGAAAACTTTGTTGATGGTCAAACATATTAGATGTGAAAAGTGGAAATTTTGAATACACTCTGATTTTGAAATACTGGATCAAAATTCTCATATATTTGATCCACAAAAATGCTTTAAAAACTGAAGGCCCTTTGAGTACATTTGACTCAGTATGTTAGCTAGTTGTTGATAGAATATTTATAGATAGACTCCTCCCCCAATACTCGCATGTCTTTTACAGATGGCATGACTTATGGTTTATACAGCATGGGGTCTTCTACAGTTTAAGGGAGAAGAAGCTTGGCTGTATCTGAGTGTAAATGCAAATTGAATGGAATTAATGAACATATCAGTCTACTGCTGTTAACTGTAGTAATTATAACTTCTACCCTTTTCTTTTGTTTAGACATGTAAAAGGAATAGTACTAGTTGCACTAGCCGATGGAACCTTAGCAATATTTCATAGAGGAGTTGGTAAGTGCTTTACTCCAATGTGTTAGGCTATCATGTATTTTATACTATTAATCTGGTTCTGAAAAATGTATGCATTAGAAACCTTGTATGTTTTCAGAGATGATCTATTCAATTTATAATTTGAAGTACTGTTACCAGTAATGTTTCCCTCAGTACTTCATTTATTGTATATTTATTTATGAATACAGTATGTAAAGCAATTCAGTCATGCTGGCTCTAAGTGGTATATAAAACAACAGTTACCAATGTCCCATGCAATAATATACAAAGCATGCGGTTTAAAAGATTATAATTGATGTAATGTTCTTGAAACTGGGAGCTCTATATAGCTCCAATTTCAGAAATCTTCCAGAAGAGCATTTTTTAAATGAGCCTCATGGCTTCTGGAAAGCCATGAGAATGGGAACTACCTTTAAAGTATGTGTGTGTGGAGAGAGGGGGGAGATGTAATATGATAGCTGCTGCCATCATCTAATTCACCAATTCTGTGATTTTAAACTACAATTGCATCTAAAAGTATTAAAAATTAGAAGTATGTGAGTATATAATACATATTCATACACATTTTTGTAAATGAGTTTTTCTGACTTCCTTAAATATTTTTTTATAGATGGACAATGGGATTTGACAAATTACCATCTCTTAGATCTTGGCCGGCCTCATCATTCAATCCGATGTATGACTGTGGTGCACGATAAAGTCTGGTGTGGGTACAGAAATAAAATCTACGTGGTTCAGCCGAAAGCAATGAAAATAGAGGCAAGTGAAAACAAAATATTTCCTCAGACTGGATTTATGCCTGTTCTCTTTGCTACTTAAGTCAGAGAACCAAGAAAAACACTACCAGGCCAGTATAAACAGCCACTAAATATAAACAGCCTTAAATATTCATGCAGCCTATTCGGTAAAGGTCTTATAGTGTGAAACGTGTTCCTCTTTCAGTGTTTACAATGGCTTGTGTACCGTTCCAGGTGTTGCAGAGATTCCTTGTCTATATCTCCTCCTTAAATCTTAGTACATCCCTTTCCATAGACCACATGCCTTCAGTTTCACTATTGCTTAATATCCAGAAGCCTTCGACTCACTTAAAACAATTTTAAATGAACTTCTGCTTGGGAGCAGGGTTTTTTATATTCCTTTTTGAATCCCATCCTTGGAACCTTTGGCACAGTATAACAGTGCCTGGTTTGTAATGGGACAAAGCATAAAGGTATGACACGAAAACAATAAATTAACATTTTCTTATTTATCCCTTGTTTCTTATTTCTTTTTTCTCCAATATCAAATGATAATTTTTTGGGAGCAGGGATCTGGTTTTCTCCTCCACTTTTCAGTGTCTTCCACACTGATATATGTTGCCCACTCTCAACTTTAGGTCTGTCTTGAGGAGCAATAAACACAGAATAGTGATCCAATAGTGATATTGAATAGAAACTGGAAATATGTGTTAGATCCTGATTATGATCCTGCTGCTTTAAGGATAGTAAAGCTCCGTTGCTCCACCCTGTAACAGCCAGCTTTACTTGTTCTAAGCCCTTTGATCTTGTCATGATGAGGGGGAGAGAGGAGAGCACCAAATGAGAACTGACATAGAAAAGGGGAAGTTTAAAAGGAAATGAGTATATACAGTACAGAGAAAATATCACTGAAGGCCAAACAGATGGAACAAAATGAGACATTAGCATGAGCATTTTAAAAATAGCATTTTTAGAACTCGGAAGATAACTAACAATAGATACTAATCAAGGAATGAGAAGACTTGCATTGAAAATCTTTTCACAATATAAAGAGAGAGAGAGAAAATGTATATGTTCATGTGTTATTATTTAATGAAGACTCTTAGACACTTCAGTGTATTTTAAAGGGTAAATAGGAGTGTGGGGAAATGTTTTGTTAACTGAGCCATAATTTTCTCTTAGAAATCATTTGATGCACACCCAAGGAAGGAGAGCCAAGTGAGACAGCTGGCTTGGGTGGGAGATGGAGTGTGGGTGTCCATTCGTTTAGATTCAACTCTCCGGCTTTACCATGCACACACTTACCAGCACCTACAAGATGTTGACATTGAGCCTTATGTAAGCAAAATGCTAGGTAAGTTCCATGCCTTGGAGGGGAGGTCGTTTTTGTTTTGGATGAAGTAAATTCCTTGGGTAGATAACGTTTTAAATGTTTTAAGAAGTATCCTAACAAATTATGGAGGCATTTTCCATATAGAAACAATACTAGGTGGGTTGCTGACAACATCATCATCTCTCAAGAAGCAAAAGAAACCTTTATCTTTTTGAGCTGAAGAGATCTGTCATTGAAAAAAAATAGAGGAAAGGGAAACCTGGATGTTTACCTTGAAAAAAGAAAAAAATATAATTTTATTTGAAAACTAACAGTATAAATTGTACATACATTTTATATGTCTATGTATAGGAGTTTACAGTGATTTAAAGAAAAATGTTTTATTGCAACACAGTTTCTTACTGTGGTATATATCTCCTTACAGGTATATCCAGGTGTGCACATGCACAACAGATATTATGTAATACACTGTAATCCCAGCAACAGCAACATCTGTACCATTTACTCTAGAATATTCATCTACATGGCCTGGTACCAGGCCATGGCCCGTTGGCCACTGGGCCGCGGGAATAACTGGCAAGCTCCCCCACTCGCGCTAGCACGCTGTGCGGGTGTTAGCCGACCCGCTTGTGCAGGTGCCCTAGCACTGCCACTAGCGTCATATGGGCGCTAGCGGCCCATTTGCGCAGGTTCCCGGCCCCATTTGCACAGGTGCCAATGGCCCGTTTGTGCATGCGCGCGGGTGCCAGTATGCTGCTGCAGATGCCAGCGGCCCATTTGTGTACGCATATATTTCCCTGCTCCTTCCTTTCCTTCCGGGCCACCAAGCTGGAAAGGTTGGGGAGCTCTGATCTGCACTACTGGTAACTCTTATATTCTGAATCAGCAGAGTCATAACAGATCAGAAACAGGGCAGGTGGGGAAAGGTTGAGCTCTATAACCATATTTGAGCTTGCTATATTTGATTTCTTGCTGCACTTCATGCTGTCCCCTGGAAGATGCTCTGCAGGATCAGGGAATCCATGAATAGCATTGTTGATGGTGCTAGGACCAGCAGGTTGAAGAAAAAACTGGGGTCAGTAGAAGATTGTATTGGATCTCTGCCCTTTGTGTGAATGCAACTCTTCTATTCTCAAAATAGCAACTGGTTTTGGATTCTTTGTTATTTAAAGAGTTTCCAAAGCTGGCTTTTTTTTGTTTGTTTACAAAACAACGGTGGTAGATATAAACATTTCATAGATCTCTGAAGAATTTTTTTTTATGTTTTAATGAATGCTGCATACTTCTTTCAGGTACAGGAAAACTGGGATTTTCATTTGTGAGAATCACAGCTCTGATGGTGTCTTGCAATCGCTTATGGGTTGGGACAGGAAATGGAGTCATCATCTCAATACCATTAACAGAAAGTAAGTTTATAAGAATGAATGGGATATCAAAGAATGCCCGCAATTTTATACCAAATGTGAAATACAGACCAATATTCAGTGTTCTTCAACCATGCTCAGAATCATGTGTAATCTTTTTTGTAAGCCTCTCAGCATGTTCAGATTGGAGCATCGCGTAAACTGTAGAAAATCAATCAGTCAGGGATTTTTTCGGTTTCTTCTCTGCCAGGCAGCTTAACTCACTAAAACTAAATCTTGGTAAGGACTTAATGATGGGACAGAAATTCATGCAGTTTTAGAATACAGGAAGGATGAACTGAGAGGAAAACCATGAAAGCTAACTGGTTAATGTTGGCCCAGTGATTCTTTCTCAGCTCAACACCTCACAGGATTATGTATGGGGAAAATAGGACGAAGAAGGAATATTAAGTATGTTCACCATCTTGAGATACTTATAAAGTAATAAAGGCGGGGCAAAAATCAAATACGTAATAATTTTGCTTATGAGAGCATAAGGTCTGGCAACCCAGTTTTCTCCATGTTAATAGTGCTGAAATGTGGCCTTGTTCTGGGTAAAATATGTGTAGCACCTCAGTCCTACTCTGTTGATTTGATAATCAGGAGTCATGATGTTCAATTCGGAAAGAATATATATTAAAATTTCCTTAAAAGATAGCATGATACTAAATATGTTAAGATTAAATGCATTAATTAATGCATTAAATGCATTAAAGGAGATTTCTTAAATTTACAAATAAATGGTTATAGGGAACACTTATTTAACAATTTTGTTCCAGTTCGGTTTCTTTCCACAATCTCTCTTCTGTAGCCTGCTACTTTAATGTTTGCTTTGTTCCCTTCTCTACTTTTTAGTTGGATAGACTTCGCTGCTGTCTTTTTTCTTTCCTGTTACTCTTCCAATCCCATAATGCGGCTGAAAAAAATAGGGAGTGGGATAGCTTTTGTTCTGAGCATAAGTGCCAAGAGCGGCACTTTAATTTTAATTAATTCTATATTTTTTATTTACTTTTTTTGGAATGCATGTATGGTATACATATAGTTATGAAATGCTGTTTTATTTAAATTGTTAGTCATCTGCAATTACGTAAAAAAAAAAACCCCCGTCCTTTTCTCATCCATATACTTCTGTTTAGGGTTTCCACATTGAGAAACCTCCAGATTTGTTAATACTGGCATCAGATAGCAAGTTTTCCCTAGAACCTTCTGCAATATATATAGAGAGAGCATGGTCACTATAGAGCATTGCTATATAATATATATTACTTTTTAAAAATTTAATAATGATGAACCTTTTTCATATTAATTGCTTGAGTATCATGTGCATTGTTTTCCATGCTATACCATTCATTGATCATTCATTAAATGTCTGGTTTGGCTTGTGTCTTCAATAAACAGAAATACTTCAAATAACGCATATCTTTAAATGGTGAAAATTCTTTTTCAAATTCACCATAAACAAATAAAAGAAATCCTTCCTATTGAGGTTTGCATACGCGCCTTATTATGCTCTCTAGAAATGGTTTGTAATCTGGAAAAATTGCTAAGCAACTATTCACCACCAGTTTTCCACAAGGCATAAACTTTTAGTATCCTCCTTTTAAGAGGTACTATATTTTACAATGATGAGGTTGATGTCCGTGACATTATCCTTACTGTCTTGGAAAGCATTGGTGGAACAGGATATAATTAGGTAAGTACTTGTCTCTTTTCGCTGCTGGTTGCACAAGCTGGGTACTCTGGATCCTGCTTGACCAGCTGACCAATTAGCATTTGACAGATAGCGCTCACCATCTGGGTGTCCCCACCCACCCCTTGAGAAGTGTATACTTTCTCTTTTATGATCTTGAGATGGGAAGGGGCATGCACTGTTTTTCTCAACCAAGAGGTACATTTGGCTTTTGATGGTTGTGCTGTCCAGACCATTAGTAGCTGGGGCTAAAATAAAAACGCCATCTAACTTCCTTTTGATTAAATTTTAAATAAAAAAGTAAATCATAATAATCTCTAGTCATGAACCCAATAATTCCCCCTTTCTGACATATTAACACACACAATTTGGTGACATCTTTTGATAGTCTGGGGCTGTGCCTAAAATTTTTGGGGGTTGGGGGGGCTACATTTGACCGTGGCTCCTCTACCTTAGCATCTGTTTAAAAAGAAAGAGGGAAAGGGGAAAGACAATTTGTCAATAGGTAGCAAGTAGTAGCTGTAGCAATAAAACAGCAGTAATAATAATATTTTGCTATTTGTTTTGCCCATATTGTTCTTACAAAGAAACAGTGTGTTTGTTCTAGTATTCTTACTGTGCCTTAGCTAGTAGGAGCTCGCCCATGAAGCTCTTTTCAAATAGCAGAACACAAATTGTGGGTTCTGATTACGGTAATCCTTCTCCTTTGCTGTCACACCTATCCATTTTCCCCTTTCGTCCTTTCTTACTTTAGCTGTAATCCTCCACCAGGGACGTTTACTGGGGCTGAGGGGTAAGTGCTGATCCCAAACCTCCCCTGTATTCTCAGGCTTCTCTAATAGCCCGTGGAAGGCTGTTCCCACTTCTCTAAAATTCACCCCCTCCCCTTTGTTCCTAAGCTGTATTTCCACCTGCAGTTACCTGCATTGCAGTATTTTATGTTTGCTGAATGACCACCAATCCTACTCAACACTTTAGTGGCCTCGTATTTTGTTGCAGCTGAATTTTTCATGCTGGCTTCTTGTTTTTCTTCCAGCATCATTTGTGACACCATAACCTTGTAGCTGTCATTAATCCACACCATTTTTTTCTTTTGCTGCATATCACATGTCTTTCCTTCTTCTAGCACTCTTCAAAATGGAGATAGTTCTGTCTGTCTAGCATGAAAAAAGGGGCAAAAATTATAAGTTAAAAAAAATTGGCAGTGGAACATAGTACTTGAAAAATGAATTCCTTAAACTAGCCAACAGCACCTTTTTATCGTTTCCTCATTCCCTGTAATTGTAGTGTTGGCTTTAGGAGGTCCAAGATTCGTAACTTCCAAGGAAGGCTTCTTTTTAAAAGTTCTGTAGCACGACAGGCTATGTTTATTCACAGAAAGATATTAGAGTAAATGTATTTAAACTACAGGTGCCACACTGCACTCTGATATTTGCTACAACAAATTAGCACGGTTACCCTAAGAATTCCTCTTCTAAAATATAAAAATAATTTGGTTTAACATTTTGACTATTTCTGTATTACACTTAGTTCTTTTGGCAGTTTGAAACAACCTGCTCAGCATTGTTCATTCTGAACATAGACTTTTGAAATAACAAAATGTGTGGTTATGCTCGACTAGCAAGCTACTCCATTTTTTTTCCTTGAGGTACTTCCAATAACTAAGCATGCTATCTTTTATTTCTTTCTAGCTTTGCCTTGAATTAGCATTTTGTTGCCCTTTCTGTTTTATTTACCTGAGTTTGCTTTAGCTTCTAGATTGGATATATCACAGGGTTCCTTAATTTATTTTCTACAACTTGCCATTTCACTGGAAAATGTTTTATTCCTTTCACTGTAGCCAACAAAGCAGCAGCAAGCTCTGGCAACCGTCCTGGCAATGTAATACGCGTGTATGGAGATGAAAACAGTGACAAAGTGACCCCTGGAACCTTCATTCCTTACTGTTCAATGGCACACGCACAGCTTTGTTTCCATGGGCATCGTGATGCTGTTAAGTTTTTTGTTGCAGTACCTGGTAAGCTTTCCGTGTAATTGTACCTTTCAGCCTTTCATTTCATGAGGTTTCTTCTGGAATCCATCATAGGGTTCTTTTACTAACGAATGAAGGCAAATATACACGTCCCAGGATAGGATCCAATCTGGGTCAAGTCACTGGGACCAGAGGTTTTGTTTTTCAAGCTTTTGGACTCGTGCTGGAGCCCATCTTCAGCGAACTTCTTTCGCTTAAAACTTCACAGCCACACTTGGAATACTGCATCCAGTTTTGGCCACCACGATGTAAAAAAGATGTTGAGACTACATAGAAGAGCAACAATGATGATCAGGGGACTGGAGGTTAAAACATATAAGGAACGGTTGCTGGAATTGGGTATGTCTAGTCTAAGGAAAGAGAAGGACGAGAGGGGACATGATAGCAGTGTTCCAATATCTCAGGGGCTGCCACAAAGAAGAGGGAGTCAAGCTATTCTCCAAAGCACCTGAAGACAGGACAAGAAGCAACGGATGGAAACTAACCAAATAGTTAAGCAACCTAGAACTAAGGAGAAACTTCCTGACAGTTAGAACAATTAACCAGTGGAACAACCTGCCTCCAGAAGCTGTGAATGCTCCAACACTGGAAGTTTTAAAGAAGAGACTGGATAGCCATTTGTCTGAAATGGTACAGGGTTTCCTGCCTGAGCAGGGGGTTGGACTAGATGACCTCCAAGGTCCCTTTCAACAACAACATCATCATCATCATCATCATCATCATCATCATCATCATCATCATCATCATCATCATCATCATCATCTGTCCATCCATTGAGGAGAAATTGTTGTACATTGCTGCTTTCACTTGCAAAGGTTTCAGAAGAGGAATTTCTTTATAGAACCACCAGTTTTCTATCCTTTTTTTCTTAATTCATCCAGAGAAAATATTTACTTCTGATTTTTGACGTTGTTTCAGACAAGATGTTGAAACCAGCATACTCAAAAAGCTACAGCAAACTGTTTGTTGTAGGTAGGAGACACAGGTGGGATAAGAGTTTGGGACAGCATCTGTGCAGTTAGGGGAAAGTCACACAGTATTCAAATATAAACAAGTTGTCTTGTGTGTTTTCGGGAAGTCTTCTTCTACAGTATTTTCAAAACACTTATGGAGGGGAAGCACTTGAAAGTGTAGACCCCCAACCATACTTCTATATAAGGAGAAGAATGTCCTTTCTTCCCACAGCTGTCATGACACATGACAACTTGCCTCAGACTTTAGTAGAATAATCAAAGAACTGATTGTGATATCAGAAAAAGAATGAATTTGCACTTACCTGTCTTGAAGACACTGCACCTATTCAATTACAAGCATAAGTAGTATCATCAGTGATGAAAACCAACAAGATGAGGGGCATGAAGGGGGGCATTGAAGTAAGAACAATAGTGGCAGGATAGGAAATTGACACAAAGTTATAAAAGATGTAAAAGACTTTAAATATGAATTAAACTTTTACCTGATGCTTAGGCTGTGCTTGTGCATCATCCTAGTCAGGGGTTAACCAAGGTTTATCAAATCAATACAATTTTCTGGGTTAACTAGGCACGTTGTATTGTCAGTTAACCATCTGGATTCACACCATGCACTAAGGCGGTATTATGTGAACCAGTCTTGGCGTATGGAAATTCTATAAGATTGGAAAGTATGTGGTCATTATGAGACAGAATATTTAACATAGAAACTTTGAATCATTGGAAATACCAGCAAGGAGAGGATTACTAGAATGTAGGCAACAAGTTTTTAAAACATTGACAAGATTTTCAGTCTATGTTTTATTCACTTACAGAAGGCCATTGATTCAATACAAAGGAAGTTTTTTTTGCTACTACTGCACGATTTGGACTATCAAACTGCCATTCAAAAGGCCATTGATGCTTCTGTGAACTTATCCTATTACTGTTACTGCATGTGTTAGGATAACCTTAAGATACTTGCTCATCCATTTTGCTGAATCTCTTCTTTTTCACGCCAGTGCCACAGTTTTAATGTGTGTAAAACATATGTTCCTAGAGTTGGGCTAGTGCAGGGGTAGGCAACCCAAAACACTCAAAGAGCCACTTGGACCCATTTCCCACCGAAAACAAAACACTGGGAGCCGCAAAACCCTTTTGATATCTAAAAAAAGATAACACTGCATATATCCTTTTTTACCTTTAAAAATATATATAAAAGTAAAAAAAGATATATGCAGTGTTATCTTCATTTTAGATGTCAAAAGGGTCTTTCGGTCTGTCTCTCCCTCCCTCTCTCCCTCTCTCTCTTTCTGCCCTTGGTCTGCCAGTCCTCTCCCTCCCTCCCTCCCTCCCTCCCTCTCTCTTTCTCCCCCCCTCTCTCTTTCTCTCCCCCCTCTCTCCCCCTTTCTCCGATCTTCTGCTCACCTGGCAAGCTGGCTTCAAGCTGTTCTCCAACAAGCTCAGGGGTAGGCAACCTCGGCTCTTTTATGGACTTCAACGCCCAGAATTCCTGAGTCAGCATAGCTGGGCTAGCTAGCTCTCTCCTGTCCTTCCTGCTTCCTGCAGAGATGCAGCAAAGGGAGGAGCCCTGCCCAAAAAGCTTTTCAGCTTGTCGGAGAACACCGTGAGTCTACTCTCTTTTACACACACACACACACACACACACACACACACACACACACACACACACACACACACACACACACAGAGACAGAGACAGAGACAGAGACAGAGACAGAAGCAGGGAAGCGCAAGTGCCTTTCTCTGTCTCTGTCTCTCTCTGCAAATGGCAGAGGAGGCTGGGAGCCACAGGGGAAGGCTCAAAGAGCCGCATGCAGCTCCGGAGCCGCAGGTTGCCGACCTGTGGGCTAGTGTAATAAGAAATACATTTGATTATAAAAAACATAAATCACAAACAGTGCTGTAGCAACCTGAAAGCTGGCATTCACGACATAACTTCAATTTTATTAAATCTAATTCAGATAGCTTATATTACTCTGCCAGAGATACCATGCCTATCTTAGCAGGATGAGAGCTAGTACGAGGATGATAGCCTGCTTGCTGTCCTTCTTTCCTTTAGTGCCTGATGGCTCATAGCACCGTCTTAAAGGCCATACAGTAAAACATCCATAGTGCAGAGTTAGAAATTGTTAAGAATACCAATCAAACAGCCACATAAGTTTATCCACAGTGAAACCTAACAGCATCATCTAGTAGTCTCCAGAGGCTCTCTAACATAATTTAAATTTTAGAAACTTGCAGAAGGTCAGCAATGTAGGATCAGTTAAATCTCCAGAGGGAGACTGTTCCATAATGCAGGGCCTCCATATGAGGAAGTGTAGCTGGGATTACTGTCTGTGGTTTGAAAAAGCAGCAGCAGCCAGATAGAAACACTCCTCACTCCCACTTCCCCAAGGATCAGCGCAGCTTATGCTTTTCTCCAAAGGGCCAGGAACTTGAAATGTCTAGGGGTAGCCTCATCCCACCCAAGCCCTTAGTTTACAAATGCAAAGGCCAAGAGAGAGTGTGTATGGGTGTGTAGGAGAAAAAGACATAAGAAGACAGCAAGCAGATGGGAAAGTGGGAGGTGACATTTGGAGATTGACAACTATTACAGGCAGTCAGCTACCAGGACACAAGCTGTGATGAGCAGTATATGTACAGATCTGCTGCGTTATGGTGTGTCCAGTCCTTGGTAAGCAAAAAAACCCCCCTCACATATTAACTAAGAAGCAGTGTCTGATAGTTCAACCTGTTTGCCTTGTAAAAGTAAAGCCAGTAGCAGCTTCTCTTGGGATATATGGATTGAGTGGGTTAAATTTGGTTGGAAAATATTGTTTCAGTCAGACCTCAAAACCATTTAGAATTTGCCTTGCTATTTGCAGTGCGGGGAACACTTTGAGCTTTGCAATATATGAAGGCTATGAGGGCCAATTTCCGCAGAAAAGTTAGAGCTTTTCTCTGATACCTCACTTCTGCCCCTCTCTGTGCATTCAGGTGTGTTCTGGAGTATTCTCCAACCTTCAAGCACACATTTGAGGGCCCTCAGCGGCGGGAATTTAATCTAATTCTTAGGACAGGGCATTTTGCGTGTGGATGGAAAGAGTGGAGTACAGCTCTCATAGTTAATGTGCACTCTGTTGTCACTGTTCTTAAAGTAGATCATCTATTCCTCCAAAATGGCCCTAAATTTTCTTCCCAGCTACAAAAGCCAAGCAGCTTTGGAAAGTGAAGTGGAGAAAAGTCATTCCCTTTTCTGCTTTTTATATTGTGTGGAGTTTTGGGGGGAAGTACATTAAGGCTCTCTTTCACAAAGATCCATTTAATCAGTTTGGCATTGGTAATTTGCTCTACAAAAAAGTAACCTCAATACTTTGTCCACATTTAGGTCAGGTGATTTGTCCCCAAGTGAGTGGAAGCTCAGAATTATCCGGTGAAAGAACTACCGTCTCTACACAGGAACCCAATAGCCAGGCTCCTTTAAAATCAGTACTGGTGATAAGTGGAGGAGAAGGGTACATTGACTTCAGGATGGGTAAGAACTTCGACTTTCCAAATGTTTTTTTTTTATTACCTAAAATATTACCACATTCTGATAATCTAATCCAATAATTACATAAAACATCAAATATTCAAATATTTTTCATTATTAATGGGTGCCTTAGTACGTACCCATTAAAACAATGCTCGATAAGGTAGCATTTGAATTAGATATAAGGGTGTCTTAATTTGAAGGTTTTTTTAAATGCCAACTCTTTTCGTATTGACAGAAAATTAAATATGTATCTTGGACCTTGTAGGTAGGCCAGATTTTCCAAAAATGTTTGCTTTTTAGAAGGAGAAAAATTTGTTCCCGTCAGGCTAATAATATTGCTGAAAGGAGGGAAATATAATTACTCCCCATAGTTTGACTGTGTTTCAAATTGTAACTAGTTTTTTAGTGTCATAAAACTCCTGTGGGCATTGAAAACTGATCTAACCCCACTAGTATAGATACACCTTCCTTTATACAAAATCCTATTACATAATTCTGTTTTTTACCAGAGGGTGATAGTAATGAAAACTGCATATTGAGTATGTCAGTAAAATAAAAAGTCTATATTGTCTACAACTTATGATCACAATTGAGATCAGAAGCTCTGTCATTGAGTAAAGGGACTGTTAAGTGAGGTTCCCATATGACTACTTCACTGCAATTTTGGCTGTTGGCTGTAGTAGTTGTTAAGCAACTGCGTGCGTCATTAGGTGGATGGAGTGAAAGGGCTTCCTTCTTTGTGTGGAAGGGAACTTACCGGCTGGAGAAACAAGGAAGGATCAAGAAGCTCCTTGCTATGGCTCTTCAGCCCAGCACAGGAGTTCCTCTCCCCTCCTATATGCCTGGAGTGGAGGAGAAATCCTTTGGCAGGTAGCAGCTTGCAACTTTCCCCAATGACTTTCTGGGGAAGATGGAAGAGGAGATTGCAAATGGCAATCACATGATCACAAGGCACTTAGCAACTGTTCGTAACTGCGAACAGATTGCTAAGCACTCGGATCTTGAACACATGACTTGGAGAAATGATTTATGGCAGCTGGAAGTGCTCTATCGATTGTAAAGCACTTTTTTGAACAGTCACTTAACAATCAGTTGTAACTGGAGTATTACCCATACTTTCTCATTGCCTTTCCATAGTTCTATTTAATGCCAAGATGAGAACTTGGGGACCTCCAGAAACTAGTCAGCTTCAGTTCCCAGGAGTTCAGTCAGGTTGGCCAGTGGTGAGGAAAGCTGAGATTGTAGCAGCAACACGTGGGCTCCTTACTCCCACTCCTACATTGTGACAAAAATATTCCCAGTTATTCAAGTCTGTAGTTATTTGGAAGTTGGACCTTTCCTCTTCCTGTTTTATAAATGCAGTTGTATTTCTTCAGAATGCTTGTATGGATTACTGCCAGGAAACTTCCTGGCAAGTATCCATTTTAATTAAAGGGAAACTTCTGATGTTATTTCACAGCTGACCTTGTTTCTGTTTGTTAGCTATATTATTGTACGAAAGGAAAAAGCCAGGAAGCAATTACTTCTAGCCCACAATTCAGTATCTTTTGATAATTTTGCATTTACAGTGGTTTCTTCCCTTCATCTCAAACTGATAATAAAGCGTTACAGCTTTGGGGTGTAGGTGGGCGGCCACATATTATTAACTGAAATATTCTTCCTTTTAGGTGATGAAGTTGGTGAATCCGAACCCCTTGGAGAAGCGTTACCAATTGAGCCTTCCGTTGCCAAAGCTGAGAGGAGCCACCTGATAGTGTGGCAGGTTATGTGTGGCAGTGAATAAGCTCCAATAGAAAATGGCTTGAGACTGCAAAAGCTTTTGCATGTCTTCAGTTTTGTTTTGTTTCTGTGGAACCCATTTCACTGCATACAGTTTGAACATTTCTTTGTCATTTGACTTTATATCATAAACCTCTCAAACCTTAAAACAGGAACCAGCTCGTGCTGTTTTACTGCATCAGTGTTATAAAGCGAGAATAAATTGGTCTTCCCAAGCAGATAAATGCCATATTTTGTCTCCTAAATGCACCTTATAGGCCCCACTGCAATCTGTAACACAACTCTTTTTTCCCCCTACTTTCTACAATGCTTTACGTTTATATTTTGAGCCGTTTTGAATTCATTTGCATAAGGGTAAAACAGAAAATTAATATTCTGGGTAGTATTCAAAAGAAACAGAACATGTGTAATATAAAGGATTCACTGAACACATCAAATTTTGATGGTTAAAGTAAGTTGGAAGACTTTGCTTTTTTCATTTCTGAATCCCGCCAATTTTGTGAACCTTTGTTTATATTGAGATCCTTGAACTAAAAATTTACCAGACATTTGGTTCTTTTTTTTTTTTTTAGTTCTAAATAGCATCAGAAATCAGTACAGCTATCCTAAATAAATGAAAAAAATTTATGGTATTTTATGGGGAGAATAGTCTTCCCAATTTCCTTATTTAACGTAGCTTGGAAACATCCAGTTTAATCTCAAAAGGGCATTAGATCAAAGCATCTTCCTTAAATACTCCTTGTGCAGAAGATAGGCTACCTTTGTGTGCTCCTGTTCATTGGATCTTGGGGATTCCAGCTGTTGCCATGGGATATAGAAGGGCTCTCAGTGGTGAGCAAACTAGCAGTGACGATGAATGAGAAATAACCTCAATTAAGTTTAAATTATATTATGTTTCAGTCCATATTATCAGTCTACAGATGCCATTCAAAAGAAAGGTCTATCCAGTATGTTCCTTGATGGATTTATAAAGTGGTGTATTCGTTAATTTTAATGTACGAACACCAGTGTATAAAATTTGAGTGGCCAATCTGAGAAATTGGAAAAATACTATCATGCAATTTATTCTATCATTTCACATTTAAAGTTTTGGACTCAGTATACTCATTTGCTATCCAGTTGATGGTAAGGCTAAATTAAATGCTATATTTTTAATCACTCAGAGGATAAACTGCTTCTCAGTGTTTTCCTTGTTATAAAATAGGAGTGAAAATACTAACATTAAGCTTGTGTCCACTAAGAGACTCTGGCTCTTCCAGTTAGATGGGAGTTGCTATTATTTACATGACAGAATGGAAGAATTTCAAAATTTGAAATGGCAACATTTAAAACCAGGAATTGTCATGAAAAACTGTCTAAACCTTTTTATGCAATAGGAGCAGTTTGTCATCTCTCAAGGAAACATGTATTTAACACACACACACACACACACACACACACACACACACACCTTTTTAAAATCACATTAAACTGAGATCTGTTGTGTAAATATTTATTTAGGCAGCTTTTTAATAAAAGAAACTATAATCTTATCTGATGAAAACTTAATAATTTTCCCTTCAGATGTACTGATTATAGTTTTATATGTATAAATACTTTTTAAGCATCCTATTTTGTACACAATGAATGCATTCTGGTAGATATGTATTTTAACCACAAAATGTGTGGCTAAAAATAACTGAGAATGGTTGAATGTTTAATACCTTCATATTTTGCTCATCAATATGCCCAATGTGATCTGATCACAATAGACTTAAAATTTATTTCAACTGCTGAAGTGGGTTTAAGAAATTTTAATAAAAGGAACGCTGATGAAACACTGTGAGAAGGATTAAGAGGATATGGGTCCCCCCCCCCAAATTGCTTTTGCTACATTCATATACATCCATACCAGATTCATGTTTGTGTTGCACTTTTCACACTTTTCCATCCAAGGAAAGTTTAATAGTCAATTTGGGAAAGATGTTCAGGTGAGTTAGTGAAAGCTTCACCATATGTGCCTATATGGCACACAGGAGCCTTACCAAAAGAAGACAGATTCTTAAGATTTTGTCCTATCCTCAGAGCAGTAGAAACCATTCATGCAGTTCATAATTCTAGACGTCCATTAACTTTGTTGCCCTTTGCCTTTCAAGGCATCTTACTTTGAGGAGACCTTTTGGAAACATTATCCTGACTTTTCATGAGTGGTGGAATAGTTTTTAGAAAAAGGAATGAAATTCCCATATATTGGTTTTCAATTTTGTCCAGCATTTTCATTTTAAAATCATTAGAACTGTTTCTCGGATTCCTTGCTCAGACAAAAAAATGCACCTCGGTGATAATGTTTAATGACTTTTCAGATAGTAAATTGCCCTTCTGTCCTCATTCGGGCAATGGTCATTCACAGCAGAAAAGACGGGAGTCCGCCAGAGAGATCAACACCTGTATTAGAGCAAGTGAGGGAAGAGCACCATTTTTCAGTCTCCTTTTTAAAATTTATTCCCTGTCCTAAAAAATTGCAGTTTTAAAAGATGGATGCAGAAGATCCCTTTCACTTAAACTTACACACTCCCTGTTCCAGTACACTCTAAACTGTAGATGATTAAAATTTGCTAAAGTTCAAGCACCCAACGATTGCCTAACAAATCTGTTTTGAGAGTGTCATATGTTCAATGTAATCATAGTTCTAAAATCAGAAGTAGGAATGAGTCTCTTGATAGTTAACAGCTTTGTTAATAGTTTGAGAGAGCATTTCAAGCACAAAAAATGCAGCACATGATTTGTTTGGGTAAATGTGTTTTGCATGGTAAAAGATAATAAGTTTATGTATTCTGCCATTTAGTTCATTTCTTGCAAGGTCTTCCTGCATTGGATCAGTTAGAGCTGGCAGAGTGTAGACACTTTATCATAGGCTGCCTTAGTAACTAAAATGTTTTATAATCTTCTAATATGCTAACTGTTCTAAAGAACATGGCGTCCTGAAAATAATGTTTAATTAAATATTTATTTCCATGTGAGTATTATGAAAGCTACCAAAGGACTGAAACTGACTTGGCACGCTTACAGTTGACCCTGTGCATAAAGGATTTTGTAAAAATCCCAAGTTTGTAAAAAATGACAGAGTGAGAAACACACTTCTTTGTGGATGCTAACTTTATTTTCTTAACAGGGTTATGCCATATTGTAACAACCTTTGTTTTGCACTTCAAAACATTGAACACTAAATACTTCTCTCTAACAATGTCATTACTGCACACTTCTCTCTCTTTTAAACATGTTTTAAGGCATTTTATGGTCATTAACTTTTTGAAAATGTTGTCTAGACACTTTATGCTGAATTTTACTTTCCTCTGTAACCTTGAGATGAATACTGCAGCATTAAACCTGCTGTCTGTTTAAACTTGAGGCTTCTTTTCTGTGAGCTGATAAGCTCATATAGCAGTGAAGTTATTTCAGTATTTATTATTGAATCCTTGGGGGTTCAGAATGTAACTTTGTACATGAAATATATATAAATATGTATATGAAAAGCATTCTTGTTTGGTGTGTTTCTTATATCGTGGTCACAGCAATTATAATTTATATGTAATTTATTCATGTGGGGGAAAATAACTTTTTAAAATTAATATATGTCATGGGTTAAAGAACATAGACTCTCTAGGACTGGAGAAACTTCTTCACAACTCCAAATATAACTCAACCAAATTTGAAACAGTGAAATTATCCTAATTTTAATATTGAAAAAGGACAGAAATAAACATGTTTTCATGCTGGAAGGAATAGGGTGAAATGGGAAAAAAGATTCTAAAGTCATCTTTGAAGTTTCCCAAATTTTTCTTAGCAGATATTTTTCCTTACATGAATGATATGTGTAAATAAACATATAACCTGTTTGAAAGCCCATGACACCAACTATATTCTTTTTTCCTCATAGGATATCTTTTAATTAACAAATGAACCAGTCATTTATGATTTATAATTATTTGTATTTTGTCTTTTTTCCAGGAAGCCTCTTTAAAACAAGCCTGCAATATATTAAGTTGAGATTGATTTGTCTAAAGCTTCCTTATAAATTTGATGATTCAAAGTTTGTGCAAGTGGATTTTCATTGCTTAGGTCAGAGATCATTAAGTCACATAGGACTCCTAGTTTTCCTCCCTTGTCTGATCACATTTGCCAAAAGTTGCCACCATTGTTTCTTGTCATTTTGGTGGCAAGGGGTGGGAACAATTTAAAATTAATATAAGTCGAAAACCAAACTTGGTACTTATTTTTAAAGAAAAGCTTCCAATATTTTGTTTAAAAATTAGCATGTTGTAGCACTCTCATGTACAGTGAGGGGAAAAAATATTTGATCCCTGCTGATTTTGTACATTTGCCCAGTGACAAAGAAATGATCAGTCTATAATTGCAATGATAGGTTTATTTTAACAGTGAGAGATAGAAAGCAAAAATACAAGAAAACATATTTCAAAAAAGTTATAAATTGATTTGCATTTTAATGAGTGAAATAAGTGTTTGATCCCCTATCAATCAGCAAGATTTCTGGCTCCCAGTTGTTTTTTATAGACGTAACAAGCAGAGATTAGGAGCACTCTCTTAATGGGAGTGCTCCTAATCTCTGTTACCTGTATAAAAGACACCTGTCCACAGAAGCAATCAATCCATTAGATTCCAAACTCTTCACCATGGCCAAGACCAAAGAGCTGTCCAAGGATGTCAGGGACAAGATTGTAGACCTACACAAGGCTGGAATGGACTACAAGACTTGCCAAGCAGCTTGGTGAGAAAGTGACAACAGTTGGTGTGATTATTCGCAAATGGAAGAAAATTGTCAATCTCCCTTGGTCTGGGGCTCCATGCAAGATCTCACCTCGTAGAGTTTCAATGATCATGAGAACAGTGAGGAATCCGCCCAGAACTACACAGGAGGATCTTGTTAATGATCTCAAGGCAGCTGGAACCATAATCACCAAGAAAACAATTGGTAACACACTATGCAATGAAGGACTGAAATCCTACAGTGCCCACAAGGTTCCCCTGCTCAAGAAAGCACAAGCACAGGTCCATCTGAATGTTGCCAATGAACATCTGAATGATGCAGAGGAGAACTGGGTGAAAATGTTTTGGCACCTGAGACCAAAATCGAGCTCTTTGGCATCAACTCAACTTGCTGTGTTTGGAGGAGGAACAATGCTGCCTATGACCCCAAGAACACCATCCCCACCGTGGAAACATTATACTTTGGGAGGGGACAAGACAACTTCACCACATCAAAGGGATGATGGACAGGTGAGAATCTCCTTCCCTCAGCCAGGGCATTGAAAATGGGTCGTGGATGGGTATTCCAGCATGACAATGACCCAAAACACAGGCCAAGGCAACAGA